CTGAATCGCTGCTGCTGCTGCTGGGCGGGGGTGAGCATGCCCATCGGTGAGCTGGGCGTCTGCATCCCAGACAGCATGGGCGCAGCCAAATCAACTCTCTCACGCTTCTCAAATGCGCACCCTCAAGTTCCACGAGCAAAAACTTCTCAAGAAAGTCGATTTTCTCAACGTGCGCTTTTATTTTATTCCCCTTCTCCGTCTAACACTCCCCAGTGGAAGCAAGATGCCAATCTACGCGAGATCAAGGTCATGCGCCGCTACCATATCCAGCACCGCGACGACTACCACAAGTACAACAAGCTCTGCGGCTCTCTCAGGTCGTTTGCCCACCGAATATCCCTTCTGCCCGCCCAAGACCCCTTCCGAAGCCGCATGGAGGCACAGCTCCTCTCCAAACTCTACGACATGGGCGTCCTAAACTCATCCGCGAAGCTCTCCGACATCGAAAACAAGCTCACCGTCGCGGCATTTTGCCGACGTCGTCTCGCAGTCTTCATGTGCATGTCCAAAATGGCAGAAACCGTCAGCGCAGTATGTCCTTTTCTTTCTTTCCCCGTTCCTCGCTCACCGTCCCCAGGCCGTAAAATTCATCGAGCAAGGCCATGTCCGCGTTGGCCCTGACGCCATCACAGACCCCGCCTTCCTCGTCACCAGGTCCGTCCTCCACAATTCCTCTTTTTTCCAACTCACACCTTCCGTTCTAGACACATGGAAGATTTTGTCACATGGGTCGACACCTCCAAGCTCAAACGCACCATTATGCAATACAACGACGAGGTCAGCCCCTCGTTTCCGCGCTGTCATCGTCCTCTGACAAACATGCACCCTCCGCGAATAGCTCGACGATTTCGATCTTCTCTGAGTCTGATCACGATCATAAAGAACAGCAACACGATGCAGCGTGTTCTGCACCGCCGACGCTCTCATCGTATCAGCTACCCAGCTGGTCAATGCTGCCTGCCCTCTGCAGGGTGTCGTATTTTCAGACCCAGCGCCGCCGTATTACGCCCGCCATGGCTCCATCCTCCTCTGCCCTGCCCCCCAAGAGACGTAAACTCGGGGCTCAGTATCCTTGTATGTTGTAGCACGAAAGTACTGTATTGGTGCCCTTCTTGTAGAAGACCCCGCATGAGAAATGCCATATACCTCCTTGCACTCGTCCTTCTCGAGCTCCGGGCAATGTGTTGCGTTGGATTCGTTGGATTGCAAGGAATCCGTCAGGGCAATGCAGGATCCTGGTGGAATGTTTGGAAAGAGGACGAAGGCGCGTATTCGAGAGGTGGCTGGCGAGAACGACGCTGAGCACTATGTGGCCTATTATAATGTACGCGCTTCCTTGATTAACTGCAAATCTTACCCATCATAGCATTTCATTTCATCTGTTGTAAATCCCATCCACAGCGCATCTCCGCAGCTATTTCCACTCTTTTCTCATCTCTATCTTGTTGTCTTCACGATAAACACAAGAGCAGCCCTAACTTTCGCCTTCGTCCTTACCTCGGAAGTCGGTGATCAAGTTGACATTTCCTAATCAGCGCGTTTGCGTTACGCGAGGGTGTTGTCAAGCACTCCCTGCACGCGTTCAGCAGTTTGTTCCATCCCACATCCACCACAACCACCGCCCACCTTTCCCTCCCTCCCTCCGCGCTCACGACCAGCCACGAATACCCGCCCAACTGGGCCCTAGAAGATAGCTACAGAGCTAGACGTCCGCCTCCTACGGCCTTAGAGAAGAAGAGGCCCCTCTCCTTGAAGCCAAAGTGCAAGATTTTGCATCAACCTACCGACTTTCCTTTTTTTGTTCGGACGAAGACTCGAGATAGACGAAGATGGGGGAACCTGGAGATGGGAATATCAAGGTCGTCGTGCGGTGTCGGCCGCTCAACTCTCGCGGTACGTTTTGGCGTTTTCTGTCTGTTGTGAAATCAGGCTTAACGAAACCTCTTCATTTCGCTTCCCCTCTCTTCCCCACTCAACCACCTTCAACGCAACGTTGCCAACCTACCTTACCCTCTCCTCCATCTCTCAACCACCCATGACCAACCCCAGAGCTCGCCCGCGGCGCAAAGCCACTCATCCGGATGCAAGGCAACCAGACGTTCCTCGACCCGCCCGAGACGGGTTCAACGCAGGACACGAAGCGCGCGACGGAGCGCAAGACCATGACCTTCTCCTTCGACAAGTCGTACTGGTCCGCCGGCCCGCGCGACGAGCCCGGGTACTGCTCCCAGCAGACGCTGTACGACGACCTGGGCAAGGAACTGCTCGACCATGGGTTCTCGGGGTTTAATGCGTGTATCCTAGCTTGTGAGTCTTCCTTTTGGGCTTTTGGTGTTGGATTGGCGTGGTCATGGAGGCTTCTGGGTTCTGGATTGAGTTGACTATTAACTGACCTTTTGGGTTTGGGCAGATGGACAGACGGGTGTGTGCTCTCTCGAATAGACTCCCTTTCCGCTCGGTAGTAATCAAACTCCCAATGACGCCCCACCCAGGGTCTGGCAAGTCCTACAGGTGCGTGTGCAATCCCCAATCCCAACTATCCTACAACCCCAAGCTAACCGGATTCCCTTCCTTCTAGTATGATGGGGTGTACGTGCATCCTGGTGGATCCCCGAAATCCCGACCGGCGTCTTACTGACGTCCTCCACAGACGGTCCCGACAAGGGCATCATCCCACTAACCTGTTCCGAACTCTTCGAGCGCGTAAACCAGAAGCGGGCCCAAGATCCCAATCTCAACTTTACGGTCGAGGTTTCGTATATCGAGGTGCGCTTGCCTTTCTTTGCTTGTGCTGTACACCCTACTCCCTCGCGTAAACCGCTATTTCCTCCCTCCTACCTCACTTCTTCCGTCTTATCTTATCTGCCACTTCCCTTCACCCTCCCAAACGCGTCCCAACCCAACCTAACCTTTCTAACCCACCCTTCCTGCCTAGATCTACAACGAGAAAGTGCGCGACCTGCTCAACCCCAAGAACACGGGGAATCTCAGGGTGCGCGAGCACCCGAGCCTTGGGCCTTACGTCGAGGATCTGAGCAAGCTCGTCGTCGGAAGCTACGACGAGATGATGACGCTCATGGACGAGGGTAATAAGGCACGCACGGTGGCGGCGACGAATATGAACGAGACGTACGTACTTGCTTTCCTGGAATTTTCCGCTTCCGCTTCCGCTGCGTCCTGGAATTTGGACTGTATCCCTATCCGTCCGTTTGCTCTGGGTAATATGGCGGGATGCGTTTAGTGCTAGGAGTTTGGTGGAAGGAGTTTAGCGTAAAGTTGGCTGGAACGTTAGTTGGAAGGTGGAATGTGGACCTTTGGAAAGTACAGGCGTAGGCTGGTGCCACCGCCAGGACTAGGACACATTTATGCTTTCTTGCTGTGAGGCGCCCGTTGTTCGTTCCTCGCTAACCTCCTTTTTTTCCTTGTGTCGTTTCTCTTGACACACAGGTCGTCCCGCTCGCATGCGGTCTTTACTCTGCTCCTGACGATGAAGAAGCGCGATCAAGACACCAACTTGGACACGGAGAAGGTGTCGCGCATCAGGTGCGAACGCGTCTGTTGGATTGTTTTTTTCGAAGCTAATGAAGTGGCGTCCTTTTTTTTCTATTCCGTTTGTGAAATCTGGAATAAAGTTTGGTCGACTTGGCTGGATCCGAGCGTGCAAACTCGACAGGAGCAACAGGCCAACGTCTGAAGGAAGGTGCCAACATCAACAAGTCGCTGACAACGTTGGGCAAGGTCATTTCTGCGCTCGCCATGGCGAGTCAGTCGGAGGGAAAGAAGGGCAAGAAGGGAAAGGCGGAAGAGTTTGTCCCTTATCGCGACTCGGTGCGTCCATCTTACCTGGCAGAGCCTAGAAATCGCCTCCTAAACTGACGCTGACGTCTATCCTCTCTTTTCCATCTGCACCTGCTCTTTATGTGTACGCATCGTATGCTCAGGTGCTTACCTGGCTGCTGAAGGACAGTCTGGGAGGCAACTCCAAGACCGCGATGATCGCTGCGATCTCGCCCGCTGACTATGAGGAAACGCTCAGCACGCTGCGCTATGCCGATCAGGCGAAGAAGATTAAGAACAAGGCGGTGGTGAACGAGGATCCGAACGCGAAGCTCGTGCGCGAGCTCAAGGAGGAGCTCGAGATGCTCAGAGGTACGATACAATCGCACCCTGCCCTCAGCGGCGGCCTGCTGGGGTCTGCTGCTCGGCTGCGCGTGCTACGACTCTCCGCGCATGTGATGCTGACGATCGTTCTTTTCTTTCGCTGCTCTGTCCTTCTACCCTGGCTTCCCGCGTTCCTCGTTTCTCGCAAAACCTGCCTGACATCCTTCTGTGCCTGGGTTCCAATTCCAATGCGTGCTGGTTCTGGTTCTGGTTCTGGTGCGCCATCGCACAGCTCGTGTGGCAGGAGCGGTTTCGGAAGAGACGTACGACCCTACCGTGCCTCCAGAGAAACAGAAGGTCACCTACCAGACTAAAGACGGGCGAATCAAGACAGTGACCAAGGCAGAGCTTCAAGAGCAGATGGAGGCCAGCGAGAAACTCATGCAAAGCCTGAACGAGACCTGGGAGGACAAGCTGCAGCGCACTCAGGAGGTACAGAAGGAGCGGGAGAAGGCCCTCGAGGAACTGGGAATTACGGTGGAGAAGAACCTTGTCGGCGTACATACCCCAAAGAAGGTGTGTACCCCTCCTGACATTGGGTTTTGTATAGTGAATACGTCTGGCTGACTGAGTCGATGGATTATGCTTCCTGATTAGATGCCTCATCTCGTTAATTTGGTGCGTTTCATTTTGAATGTTGATGCACGTTCTGGAAGTTAATATATGCTACTATCCCCTTTGTCTGCAGAATGAAGGTATGCCCCGACGTGGCCGTGCTGCGTCTTGTCCTTGCCGGCATCTCAATTGACTTTTTACCCCTCTTTAAGATCCTCTAATGAGCGAGTGCTTAATCTACCAACTTAAACTCGGGAAGACAATGGTACGTGATCCTGGATACTCTGAGTGTCCTTAATTGCTTTACGACACTGCACGTGATGGTAGAGAGTGTTGATGGAATTGCTATCTAGGTTGGCCGTCTGGATAGCGAACTACCCGCAGCAATCCGACTGAGCGGAGATAACATCCGGGATGAACACTGCTACTTCGAGAACACAGATGGGAAGGTTGTCCTCATATGCATGCCTGATAGTATCACGGTAGGATTCTCTGTTCTAGATGTGATTCGCCGATTGATATTCCTTTTTCACTAGTTCTTGAATGGAAAACAAATTGAGTCAGGACAAGTGAGACTTTTCTGCTGAAGTTTTCGTGTCAAGGTGTCCTACTTACGACGGCATACCCTCACCCTACGTCAGCCTTACAAACTACGTTCTGGATTCCGGATTATTCTCGGTTCGTGATGCCCTGTCTTTTTCTCTTTTCTTTTTTGGAAGGAAGAACTACCCTTACTCATTTTCGTTGTTTTCTTCTTGTGACTTTGTGATTTAGGCGAACACCATGTCTTCAGGTTTAATAATCCGGAGGAAGTCCGCAAACGACGCGATCGTGCTACAATGAAGTCGAACATGCATCTCAGCGTCTCTGCGGGTGAACTAGCAGCCTCCAGCGAAAATTCACCGCGCCCGGATTCCCCGACTTCCTCCACAGACGAACAGTTCGATGTCGACTGGAATTTCGCCAAGCGAGAAGCGGCGTTGGCCCGACTAGGGTTGGACCCATCTCTTGACAACATGCCGGACGACGATCTCAATAAACTCTACGAGAAGATCACCAAGGTGAAGACGATGCGCGACCACAGCTCAAAATCGAGACCGGAGAGCAGCATGAGCCAGGTCGATGACCTCTGGAGCGACACAAGTCGACCGCAACCAAGCGAAGCTAACACAGATGACACTAGTCTGTACGCCGGCCCAAGCTGGGGTGGAAGCCCTGCTGTAGATGGCTCTCTCAAGGACGTCCAGAATCAACTCGAGAGTAGGCTTCAAGAAATCGGTGGCGACTCCACTGAGGCGGAGGACCTGAAGATTGAGAAGGAACACATGGAGCACCAGCTTCGATTAGTTAGGGTCCAGATGAAGCGGCTGATTGAAGCTCGGGCCAGAGGGGACATGGAGACTGTTGGGCTCGACTTTGAGCCTGTAGTATTCTCTGCCCGCCAGTTGAGACTGATCAGGAAGGTTTTGGACAGGTGGAGAGCGCACCGAGCATTCTCCATGGCGGAGATGATTCTGACGAACGCGGTCACAATTAAGGAGGCCAATGTCATAAGGTCCGTCCCATTTTTACGTACCAAGTGGCTTTTCTCATATGCTTGGTTGGTAGCAAGGAACTTGGAAAAGAAGTGGCATATAATTTCATGATCGCCTCTGGAGGATCGCTAGCTGCTCCAAGCTCTGCTGTTGACACCATAGCTGGCCTTGACCAATTCGGCGACGTCGCCGACCCAATCCTCGCATCTTCTACTCAGCCATCAGTGGCCGTCAAGGTTCTCGACAAGAGGAATAATGCGATCTGTGTTTGGTCGTTGGACCGCATGCAACATCAACTTCAGCGGATGCGCAATCTGACCACATACATTGATCGCCCATCCTACACGCAGCACTTCTCGTCCGACGAACCCTTCTTCGACTCCCCACCTCCGGAATATTCCTTCATCGGCAATGCTCTCATTTCCCTAGCGACACTGTCTCGCAAATTATCTTCTTCCTCGACTGTCCCCATCTTTTGTCGATATACGTCAGAGGCCATAGGTTCATGTCGGGTTGACATCAAGGTGGTCAATATGATTCTTTCCCCCAAATATCTCAATGGATCATCCCCATCTACGCGCTCCTCTTCTCCGGCACCTGGAGCAGTGCCACCCGGCAGCAAGTTGTCTTTTTTCCTAACGATCGATCAAGTCAAAGGGTTGTCCTCTCATGACTTCCGTGGTGTGCACCTTCAAGTCCGGTTATCATCTTTTGTTGGGTCCTCCCTCGTAGCCGAAGAGGTCTTCCCATCGAGTGCTCTGGATATGGACTCGTCATCCTTATCGGAGTTGAAATTCAGGCGCAACTTTTCTATAGTCACCACCTCGAAAGTCCTGAATCATCTTCGGCAAGGCTATGCACCGATCGAGTTTTTCGCCGCTCTCAAGCCCACCTATCTAGAGCGGATGGAACGGTGGGATGAAATGCGAGAACAGAAACAATGCATACGCCCGAATCCGAGCTCTCCTCTCCAAGAGACAAGGCCTGCAACACTGCCGCCCATGCGCCGTTCAGAAAACGACTTCGTGGTAGAACAAGTACATGATGTCGTGGCGTGGTTGCAAGTTTGCGAGCTAGGACCAGATGGGTCATACGTTCCAGTTCCAGTTATATCACAGGGCAGCCTTGACCCCGGGGTCTTTTCATTACATCAAGGCCTGCAGCGGCGCATCGTCATTTCACTGTCATCACATTCTGGCCTCCAACTGCCGTGGCAAGAGTTCACAAAAGTACGAATCGGAAATGTACGGTTACTGGACGCAAAGGGGCGCGTACATGACTCCTCTTCGACAGCATTGGTTACTCTTCCACTACTGAAAGAACAGAGCGTCGAGTTCAAGCCAGATGGGTCGGGATCTCTTTCTGCAGTGGCTCTTTGGGACTCAAGTGTTCATGACTCAGTATTGCTCAACCGCGTTACTGCATCAAATCAGCGAATATTGCTGCAGTTGACCTGGTCAGTCGCCGTCGAAACATGCAGTGACCCCGTACAGTTCGGCATGGATGTCGCAATCGCAATGCAGACTCGCGATGCTGGACCTCCTTCCAAGATTCTCACGTTTTTCGGGTCGAACAAGATCCTTTCTAAAACAAGCACTCTCTTCAGTGTGCGCTTATCGCCTCCGCTCACGCGTTCTGCTAGAGACTTGTGGAGGCTTGATACTTCGGAGAAATATGTGAGAGGCGAAGAGACTCTTGGAGTGTGGAAACCTCGCGGAATATCCGTCGTCGAAGACTATACTCGCTTGATCACGACAGAGCGGGGTGCCGCTGACGTCCAGGCCATAAGGGTGATATTGGCCGCTTCTCCCCCGAAACCCATTGCTCCGGAAACCTTGGCGTGGCGGACAGACGACCTGCTGCAAAAATCTCTTTCCTTATGGCAAAAGCAATTTGGACATCGTGGAAAGGTACTCGATTCAATTCCTTTTCTGCTACCATGTACCCGCTGAAGCTGATCTTGTAGATTGTCCTTAGTCAGGAACCTGTTGAGGCTGAGGAGAGCATGAGCCCCTCACAGCAAAGCATGGACACGGGGTCTCTCGACGGTCTGAAGTTGATATCTGAAACGAAAATTGTACCGCGGAGGTGCTGTCAACTTTTTCTTGCCGTGCACACCTCCTAACATCGAGTTGAATGCACAGCGACAGCGCGACGAAGAAAGGTCACCTGATGATCCTCACAGATGCGAGCCAGGACATCTGGGAACGAAGGTGGTTCGTTCTGAAGAGGTGACAATTACAATGATATTACCACTGATCCATCTGATATCGTTTCTCAGGCCCTATCTTCATGTCTTTGCTCATTCAAATGAGCTTGAGGAGACAGGTATCATTAGCCTAACTGGTGTTAATGTGGAAAGTGACCCACACAAGGAATCGTTACTCGGGGTGAGTACTTAGCTTCAGGTTACAATGCATTCATCAATATTTTCATAGAAACCATTTGCATTTACTCTATTTACTGCTTCCAACTCTCATGCCCTTGTGGCTCCCAATCTAAAGGAACTACAATCGTGGATTGCTAAGCTGGACCCTACACGTTTATCATCTTAATAAGTGTGCTCCTCAGTTTCTATCTCTAAATGTTAATTCTTTCAGTATTGCTGTGCCGTAACATCTACATCCTCTCCTTTTTATGAATATCTACACATTATGTATTTTCTATATGTCTGTCACATCACACAATCAGTCGTTTTCCCTTTAGAATGATGTATGACCTTGACGAATTTAATGCAAAGGCTACTTTTTTCTCTCCAGGGCCCAAGCGCACGCGATTCCCATAAAAGTCGAGGAGCTTGCCATAAACAGATTGTGACAAACTTTTATGCGGCGCGATACGCCGTCTTACATTGAGCTGGAAATGTTCCAGAGTCAGTTTTTCTTCTGCCTTGAGAGCCCTCGAGAGCATCTTGCATAGGTTTCATGAAATGCCCATAGTCGTGGAAGGCTCACCCGTAACTAAGAGAGACCGCGAGACACCTCCAACGTCAAGGCAATAGAGTCGTTCATCATGGGAAGGCAGTGTAGAAAGATATAGTCATTGCGTATAATTGTGATACATGTAGGTCTAGAATGCGGTTCCTTCCTGGATGAATAGAGATATTCTATGTACTTGTCTAGTAGGAGTCCAAGATAGCAAATAATGATACAGTCGGGTGGTAGTCTTCTCCTTTTTTGTTTGGTGGGGCGGGTTGGGTGCTTGTGCGGGAAAGAAAGGAAGTTGCATCAGTCGCATCGCAATACTGGTGTATCATTCTGGAGAAGCAGTGTGAGTCAACGCCCACTGCGACGGAAGAAAGGTGCACTGACTTCGCGGATAAAAGTAATCATATGACACGTGATGTATCCTTGTGCAAAACCGGCACCTGCGTATGCAAACAGATATTGCCACTTCCGCTTGAAGACTTCGTAGTCGGAGGGGTTGCACAGGCTAGGATAGTCCTTCGTTATCAAGTCCTGAGTGAGGTTTGCTTCTAGCCGCCTTCCCCATTCGCGAAGGGTTCGAGGATAATCTATTGATTAGAGGCGTTAGACACAAGATGACGCCTAAAAAAATCCTGTCCACTCACGAGCTGCATGATTCTCCACGCCTTCGAGGGTAAAGCGGCCTTGTGACGACGTTTGTGCGGCAGTGATTAGAGCAGTCGCACTCGGGAGGCAAGAATTCGGCCACATGTACTTGCGCATGAAGTCTTCGGCTCTAAAGCAGAAATAGGTAAATGTATTACTGGTTCATCGAGAAATGCCTTACTGGTAGCTAGAAAATTTTGATTCCGGGAAAGTCGAAGCGGTCACGACTGCCGTAGCATTTTTGGACTTGAGAGCGAAATCGATCAATTTGAAGTAAAGGTTGTAGTACTTTGCGCCAACGTGCTGGTAGAGTGAATCAAACCGTCAGTATCATAACGTCAGGGGAAAGAATGTTGAGCAGACCTCCAACATTTCCACGCTGACGAATGCGTCGAATGCTTTCTCGAACTCGGCAGGGATTTCCCGATAATCGAGCAAATGGACACGAACTCGGCTTTCCAGGCCTGCCTCTTTGATTCGTTCCTCCGCGAGCATTTTCTGTTCTATAGATAGCGTCAAGGTGTCAACTTCGCAACCGAAGGATTTCGCGGCCTGAGCATCAACCAGAGGTCAACGTCGTCTCTGCGTCTGTGTGGAATGCACTGACCTCTATTGCGAGACCTCCCCAGCCACTTCCAAACTCGAGAATTCGATGGCCTGGTCTGACCCGTGCGGCCCGAAGGACATGATGAATCTTGCGAAGCTGGGCCGCCTCCAAATCTCCTGGGCTCGGACCCATTTCCAGGTCACCTCGAACACCTCCCTCTGCTTCGCCCCAGAGGGCACATGAATACATCATCTCTTTACTAAGGAATGCCTAGAGATAATATCTTTGATCAAGGGGACTCAAGACAGCGTAAAAATCAGCCATACCTTGAACAGCTCGTTGGACTGGTCGTAGCTCGCAATGGCGTTCAGACGCGCCTGGGAACGTGTTTGGCCAAGGAAGCTGTTGTATAGCGCGGTGAAAGCTGATGATATTTTGGCAACTGTCGATGACATTGTGCTCTCCATGCCGGTTTGATTTTGAAGCCACAGCTATACGAGGTTGTGTTGACCAGATGTCGGGCACGAGTCGTGATGACAGAGGACTCACGTCCATGGATCCCTTGAGAGAAGAGACTTCAACATCTCCAATCATGTAAGCTTCACTGACTGCACAAGACATAAGTCAACAGTTGCGTGTGCTGATTAGGCGGGAATCCCTTACATCCTAAGTCGCCGGAGCTATTAAGATATTTGAGTTAGAGAGAGAAGGTCACGAACCATGAAGATTGACGGAAGACTTACAGCAATATACGGAACCAGAAGTTATCATTGACGATGTTGAGATGGACGTCATTGCAACCCTTCTGGTACTTCCCATAATAGTGCGTCCCTTCGGAATCGGAGATTGTCAAGTGGCCGACAGAAATCGCGTCTTCGAGGACAGAAAGAATTGATGAACGGGCTACACAGCAAGAATCATAATCAGCCGAAGTCTTCAAAGAGGGCCAAAGGGCGGAGCAGAAGATAGTTACCGAAGGAGACGATCCACGACTTCGGGCTTATGGTTGATAGAGAGAACAGCGATGACGATTGCAAGGCCCTTTTCGATGAAGAAGGGAACTGGAGGCAAGCCTGAGAGTGCGGGGAAGGCATTTCAACAACGAAATGGGGGCTGCTTTGAGGGGAAAGGAAGTAGAGGGCGACGAGGAATGAGGACTGAGAAGCCTCGAAAACGAGTGGGCCTTATATGCTGGGAGCTGAAGGCGCGACGGATGAAAATGGACATGCTGAGGATGAAGATCGGCAGCTTGGTCGATAAATCTCTCTCGAAACCAAAAGGAAGGATTCGCAAAAGCAGTCAGATGAATCATGCACGACGGAATTGGAAATGGATGAAAGCGTGTCCGTCGCGGTACAGGCTCGTTTCTAAATTCTCGATATGGGTCATCTTGATGGGGGTGTACCCGAAGAGGGAAGCTGTACTCACCAGTAGAACCCTGATCACATCACATCTCTCAGCACAGAACACAGAATTTCCAGATCCCCAGCCCCAGCTTCCGACAGCACGGCGTAATACGAAGGATGGAAAGCGAGAGTCGTCTCCAGAACCCTATCGAGCTGCTACTCTATTCCTTCTTGGCAGCCATAGCTGGCGTCCAACAACTAGATTAGCCTCAAGGAAGGAAATCTACACATTCGTCTCACAATTACTTCCACGTGGCCTCCAGCCAGATAGCGAACCTACACCCACGACACCAATCAAAATCCGAGATTCCACGTCGGATTCAGTCCACTTACCCACCAAAAACATCACAGGATACCCCGACCACAGAGGTTCCACGCCTGAATCAGATCTAAAAAAACACCATGATCTTCTCACCAAAGTCCACCACCGATCTCGATAAACTTTTGACTCCTCCGCTATTCCCTCCCCGTCGTTCCAGAAATAACAGACACAAACCTTGCTCGCCCGAAGCCACTCCAGATCCTATTTCGCTTGCTCTTGCATGCTCTTTCCCCGACGCGCTTTCTCTTTCCAACCTTTGCCGCTTAGAGTGTGCGGCAACGTATAGTCCTTCCTAACGACGATATTCGTTTGGTCTCAGCAAAAGCCTCCACTCGTGGCTGTCTGAGCAACTGTTTCGTCTTGACACGGTCTGAAGCTTGCAGATGGGCATGCTTGCTCGCGTTACCACTGCCGTGAACGCGTGACGTCTGTTGAAGGATTTCGCGACCGCAATTGTTCAACCCGTCCCATGAACTCTCCAACGAGACAAAATTGCAAGGCGGATAACTTTACAATGTTTCGGCTTTCCCACTGACGCGGCAGATTTAGTCCTGGTGAGAGAGATCGCCTTTCGTTGACATACAGCGAGGAAAGAAACGCGATGCGAGCTATTTCTGACTTCGTCTTGCGGTGAACGTGGAGATGTCCCAGTGAGATTTGCTCCCCACGAACTCCGCGATGCTGGAAAATTTGCCGCGGGATGTTGTTATGTTGTCGCCTTGAACTTGAGATGCGGCCGTATCTACTCGCGTCCCGCTTTCGCCACTCGGACGATGAAGGATGACGACGCCGAGGCCCTTGCATGCCCAAGAGCGACCCTGAGTTGCCATGTGCGATTGGCCTCTGCAGACCGCAACTACACGGAGCTCCTGCGTCGCATGCCTGCAGGAACTGCCATCGCTTCCTCGGTTTTTCTGCCTTCATACTTGTTGCATGTGGCATCCTCGGCATAAACATCTTCAGCTTGGTGGGTCGTCGTCGTCGCTTAGTATCAAGAGGGACGACCTTCGCCAGTGGATGTCTGGTCTCGCAATCGAGCTTCTTCGCGCACGACCAGTGGCCAGATAAAATTTTCGCTCTTCTGCCTGGGGTAAAACGGAAAGAGAAATCAGCTGGCCGTGTGAGGATGGCATTGTGGTGTACTTTAGAACCAGAGCCGGCGCTGGCGGACCGCTCAACGGCACGCCGTTAACCGCTGGCCCGCCTATCATCGCAGAGGAACGGGGGACATAAACGCCGCCGCAGGACTCCATATGGTAGAGTGCCTTTGCGAATAACCACTTTCCACTCCTCGCAGTCCGCAACGTCGGCCGAGAATTGGTCATCAACCATAGACAAGGCGCCTACCAGTCACATATTCTTGTGACCGTTTCGAGGAGCTTTGCCAGCTAGACCCATAATCTGAGACATGCTTCGCATTTTGAGCTTTGTCTCCGGTTCCCGACCCAACCGACCAGCACTGTGATACAGCCCCTAATGCATAGCAATGCTCGTAAGTGCAAGCCGCACTGCAAAGTACCGGAAGGCAGATCAAGCAAGTCAAATCGCAACCCTAGGTTTAAACACCGTCGGTGAGATTAAATTTCTGTCCGACACTTAAATCCGACCGCTTACCGTAAAATAAGGCTCATGCCGAAGAAGAGAGACCGAGGCAATCATGCATTTTCTGTCAACCACAAACTCAAGATCCTTGGAGCGCAGAAGGCCAGGATCTCGTCCATCGGCAGCCCATCGAGGGTCCGTAGTTAAACTGTTGTTGCCCGGCATGCCAGCGACAGGAACTTTCGACATGGGAAAAAACAACATGGCAAGATTAGATGCCTGCGTGATCAAGGATAATAGAGAGGCGTTTGCTGAAGGAGATCGGAACGCAAGCGAAAAGGAAGGCGCCGAGCGAGATATCTGCTTTCGCAGTCGGAGCCCTTGTTTAACGGCGTGCGGGAGGTTATTTAACGGGAAAAAGTGTGCTATGGTCGATAGCCTAAGAGGCATCAACATCTGGGTAAGTTCGTAAGTTAAAGAAGAGATTTGACTGGAAACATACCGACGCCTAAGGTTGCATGCTTAGGTTAAGCTTTCAAGGTCCGTGGCCAGATACGTCCAATTGCGGTGCTGTACATTTGACCCGTCGAAAATTGGCGTCTGTATGTGCAGGGCTTGAGTCAAGGCGTTATTGACATACAGGTCATGCAACACTGTCAAATTGTGCATTCCATTACAATCCACAAAAAATCTGACGACGGGTTGAACATTCTGTTGTCGGGAAGGGCTAGACGGATGCGGCGTTGGTTGCTGAATCCGATCGGAATCTATCGTCGTTCGCGAAAACAGTGAGAGGAGTGGAGAGGTCTCAACATCGATGCTGGCTGGAACGTAAAGCGGTTTGAGTTTGCTGTCGCAGACGTGCCGCCGACACAAACAATTTGAACGCTGGAAGAGAGCGAGAACGATATCTGACCGGGTGATTCGCCGGTGTGACGACGAGGGCGTTCGAGGGTTCCCTGCGGCAGTGATAGAAGCAGCGGTAGGGGGCATTGGAGCGGGATGACTCGATGGACGAGGTCCCGGACAGACCTTGTTTGGCACTGGGTTGTCCCATTTCAGAAGGTCGTTCCAGAAGGACGGCGCAGAAAAATGGGCGGGAAAGAACATCGTGTCATTTTAAAGTCACAGGTAGAGCTTGTGGAGGCTGCTGGTCTCGTGAGACCATCCTGTAATAGAGCCGGCCAGCCACGTCGTTCACGACCCAGTCCAATCCTGACACTAGGTTATTTCCTGTCATTGCGCTACACGGCCAAATCCTCCAGTGATGTGTGGTGATGGAACTGAGGTCTAAAGCCTGGATGGGGGATCGAAAATGCCAGATGATGCTCAGAGTTGGAAAATAGGGATAGAAAAAAAGAGGGTCTTACGTCTCGAATTTCTCCGTCAGTCATCGAACCTTGCAAATCCTGCTTGTTGGCAAAAACGAGTAAAGACGCGCCTGCTAAACGCTAAGAATCGAAACGTGATAACCGTGATAAAGAGTAAAAAGCAAGTAAGGCATGGGTCAAGCGGAAAGAGGCAGTGGATGTTCCTCACGTCTTCTGTCAGCAGACTATGGAGCTCCTTCTTACAGTCCTCCATGCGCATTCTGTCTCCAGAATCAACGACCCATACGAGTGCGTCCGTTTGCTCGAAATAGTTTCTCCAATATGGTCGCAGACTTCTTTGGCCCCCAACGTCCCCTGGGAGTGTCAAACGAATATTAGCAGTGGAGGAGCGAACAAAAGTTGTTAGGGCTGTCGGTGGGCCCGGAAAGACACGGACATATATTTAAGGTATAGCTTTCAAGAGGCAGGCGAGTAAGCTAGATGAGGCTGTGGATTCCAAAAGGAGGCACTCACTTTGCATGAACGAAGGTCTTTATGTTGAATCCTAATGTTGGGCTGATGCTGGTTATGTCCTCTCCGTTTAGCTTTTTGAGGATTGTGGTCTTGCCCGCGTTATCGAGGCCACTGGGAGCGATCAGAGAATACCTCTAGTGCTACGCATATAGCTTACAGAAAAAGCAAGCGCATCTCCTTCTCCTTCTGGCGGTTTTTGCGAATGATTGTTAGGAGCCCCATGGTGGTTGCCTTGAAGTCAAGACTTGGTGCCCTTAGTGCCTGATTACTGAGGGAGCCTGATGTCACGCAGAGTCACGGCGACCATGCTCAGTTTAGTGACCGGACCCGACTACTCGTTCTGACTCTAATTGACCACTCCGAAGACTTGCTTTTCTTTGGCTATCGCTCACGATACATAGTCTGACTTGCATTCCGAATCTAATATTATGGCACCAAAAAACAAGGGAAAGAAGGGAAAGAAGGGTGATGACGACTTTTGGTATGTCTTCTGCACTTCACGCGAGATTAGATGCTCAAGTATTTTGTATGATCATTAGGGATAAAGCAGGCGAAACAGTCGCGCCTAATGATAACCATGCCGATGCCGCCAACGGATCTGAAGATGAGAATGTCTTTGCGAAGAAGCCTAAGGCGACCGGGTTTTCTGCCCTTGGAATGGATGAAACCCCAGTGGATGATGAGGATGGAGGCGGTTTGATGGTTCGTCATCTTTCCTCGGATGCATGTTCCCTAATCATACCCCGGGGCTGTAGTCGTTAATCAGCTCTTCAGCTGCCGCTGCCAAATCGAAGAAGAAAAAGTCGAAGGTCACCGCCAATGACTTCGATGATTTGGCTGAAGTGACCGGCCAACCTGCTGCATCGGTCGAGTCTAAAATGCCTCTAGAAGTTACAGCCGAGGACTTGGCTGATGAAGAATGGGGCCCGGTGAAGGACAAGAAGGGCAAGGGAAAGAAGGATAAGGGAAAAAAAGGGAAAGTAGAGCTTGACGAGGAAGAGAAGGCCCAAGAGCAAAGTGCGTCTATACATATCTCTTGACCGGGGATCTCATTTCATAAAATACGCAGCTGCGGTCCCAGCTGAATCCGGCGCTCCTTCCTCTGCCGTCCCAGACCCAGCTCCAACGGCCACCAAGGAAGGGGTCGACGATGAAGAGCCAGAAGAATCAGGGGCAAAGATTCTTTCCAAAAAAGAAAAAGAGAAGCTCAAGAAAGAGCGCGAAAAGGTTTTATTCACCCGTTTATCCTTCACAGATGAGCGGAACTCATCTAGTTGACTTTGCAGGCGAAGAAAAAGGCCCAGGCTGCCGCGAAGAAGGCATCAGCAGCAGACGAACAAACTACCTCTTCACCGGCCGCGCCCGAGCTAGCGGTAGCACCTCAGCCAACGGCGAACGCAGAAGACAATGAGGAAGACGGAGATGATGCCACTGCTGGAGCCAAAACAGATTCGAAGAAGAAAAAGAAGAAGAAGGCGGCAAAGAAAGACGAGGAGCCCGCCCCAGCTGCCGCCCCAACTACCTCTTCCTCAAAGAAGAAGGGGGGCATCAGTGCACTGAGGGCAATGATGGAGGAGAAGAGACGATTAGAGGAGGAGGCCAGAAAGAGGGAGGAAGAGGAGCGTCGAAGAATTGAGGAGGAGGAACGTCTGGCAGAAGAGGAAGAACGAAGAAAAGAGGAGGAAAAACAGCGCAGAAAGGAAAAGGAAAAGGTTCGATTCATGCCTGTCTTCATTCTTGCCATCGCGGTATGGGTTTACATGGTATTAACTTTTGACCTAGGCGAAACGCGAGCTCGCGAAGAAAGAGGGCCGGCTACTCACGAAGAAGCAAAAGGAGGAGAGACAGATGGCTGAAATTCGCAAGCAAGCACTTTTGGCTTCCGGAGTTCAAATCGAAGGATTGCACCAAACTTCAGGTACTGGTCCGCCGGCTGTGAAGAAGGTCGTGTACGGAAACCGTAAGAAGAAAGGGCCAAGCGCGAAAGATGCCTCACCTGCCCCGGAGTCACGACCCCGATCCCCTGAGCCTATGGAAGCGGTTACACCCCCTCCGCCTGCCGCCGCCGCCGAACCAACAAATGGAGACGCGGCGAAGTCTGACTGGGAGGCAAGCACCGACGAAGAGCCTGAAGTTAAGCCTGAAGCACCAGCTGGTATCAAGGACTCATGGGATGAATCATCTAATGACGAGGAGAAACCAGGTCGGTTACGTTCATTTTCGAGCCATACGCTCTTTCCCTCACTATCAAGTTATCATCATTGTAGCTTCCAAATATGCTGAAGTGATAGTTGCCACAGTTAAATCAGCTACCGTCAAATCAGCTCCCCAAACAAAGTCTATTCCCGGCAAAGTTGCATCCACTTCTCCTGCCCCAGCTTCATCAAAGACTACAACAGTCGAAACTGCGCAACCGAAACCAACTGCTCAGGCAGGGTCTTCGGAATCAGAGGACGAATCTGACACCACCGAAGATGACTCAGAGGAGGATTCCGAGGAGGATTCCGAGGACTCAGAAGAGGAGATGACCGCAACACAGAAACAAGCTGCCCAAAAGAAAGCCGAGGCTGCAGCAAGGAGAGCCAAGGCTCGCGAGGAAGCGCTGGCGGCCAGAAATAAAGACAACCTCCGCAGCCCCATCTGTTGTATTTTGGGGCACGTCGACACGGGGAAAACAAAACTTTTGGATAAGGTATTTCCTCCCCTTTCGTTACGGCTGGATATACGATTCATGTTTTCTTATATCCTAGATTCGTCAAACAAATGTTCAAGAAGGCGAAGCTGGTGGTATCACGCAACAAATTGGTGCGACATACTTCCCTGCGGACGCGATCAAGACCAAGACTGCTGTCATGAACAGAGTATGCTAGATAGTAAAGATAATCTCGACACTCTTCTGACTCCTGGATATAGGACAACCAACAAGAATACAAGATCCCTGGCCTCCTCATCATCGATACACCTGGACACGAGTCGTTCACTAATTTGCGATCTCGTGGTAGCTCGCTCTGCAACATTGCGATCTTGGTAGTAGATATCATGCATGGTCTTGAGGCTCAAACCCTGGAGTCACTGCGTCTTCTGAGGGATCGTAAGACGCCATTCATCGTCGCGCTCAACAAGGTTCGTATCTCCTTCTTTCAGAGGACGCTAATTTGATGGCCGTTGTAGATCGATCGTATATATGGCTGGGTAGCAACTCCGGACGGTGCCTTCCGCGAATCGTTGGCAAAGCAAAGCCGCAGCGTTCAACGTGAATTCGAAGACCGTCTCGCAAAGACCATCCTTGCTTTCGCTGAGGAGGGCTTGAACGCTTGTCTTTACTACGAGAACAAGAACATGGGACGTAACGTCTCTCTGGTACCCACATCTGCTATCACAGGCGAGGGTGTCCCGGACATGATTATGCTCCTCGTCAACTTGACACAACAGCGTATGAGCGATCGTCTCATGTATCTGTCAGAGTTGGAGTGCACAGTTTTAGAAGTGAAGGTTATTGAAGGCCTCGGCACAACTATCGATGTGGTGCTTTCGAATGGTATCTTGAAAGAGGGCGATAGGATTGTCGTTTGCGGTTTGAATGGGCCGATCGTCACAAACGTCAGAGCACTCTTGACACCTCAACCGCTCCGAGAATTGCGTATCAAGGTCGGGTTATTTTCTTACTATCTTATTAGATGGTGAGCTCGTGCTAATAATGTCCATGTAGTCCGCCTATGTCCATCACAAGGAAGTAAAAGCAGCACTTGGTGTGAAAATTACGGCTCCAGATCTGGAAAAGGCCATCGCTGGGTCTCGTCTTCTCGTCGTCGGCCCTGACGATGACGAAGAGGAACTTAAAGAAGAGGTTATGTCCGATCTGACATCGCTATTCGAGAATATTGATAAGTCCGGCCGTGGAGTTTGCGTTCAAGCATCAACCCTCGGGTCCCTGGAGGCACTCTTGGATTTCTTGAAGAGCAGCAAGATCCCGGTGTCGGGTATTAATATTGGCCCTGTCTTCAAACGCGACGTCATGCGTTCTGCTACGATGTTGGAGAAGGCCAAGGAGTTAGCTTGCATCCTTTGTTTCGATGTGCCCGTGGACAAGGAGGCGGAGAAGTTGGCAGAAGAAATGGGCATTCGTTTGTTCAAAGGTATATTCCTTAACGTTACGCCAGAGAATAAGTTGCTCACTGAAACCCGAATAGCGGATATCATTTATCACCTATTTGATGCGTTTACCAAGTACAACGAAGAGATTATGGAGGCAAAGAGAAAGGATGCGGCACCTCAGGCTGTGTGGCCATGTCGGCTCAAGATCATCGCCGCCTTTTGTAAACGAGATCCAATTATACTTGGGGTGGATATTCTGGACGGGACGTTGCGGATCGGGACACCATTGGCAGTGGTGAAGATCGATCCTTCGACAGGCAAGAAGGAAGTGATTGATCTTGGCAAGATGTCCGTATAGCACGCCATTCTTCTCTCCGACTCTTATCATTAACGCCCGAATTCGCAGCACTTCGTTGGAGATCAACCATAAGTCCTATGAGGTAACAGGCTGGTTGTTGTATCCCCAGCTTTCATCTCAACTCTCCCACAACGTAGATTATCAAAAAGTCGCAGGCTGGAGGAGGTGTTGCAGTCAAGATTGAGCATGCTGTCTACCAATCATCAAAGATGTTTGGGCGCCATTTCGACGAAAAGGACGATCTGCTCAGCCATATCACTCGCCAAAGCATTGATGTGCTGAAGGTCTGCTTCTTTTTCATTTCTTGGTGCTATGTCTAACATTCTTTGCCTCTAATAGACGTCATTCAAGGCCGAAGTTTCAAACGAAGAATGGTTACTCATTCGTGCTTTAAAGCCTGTATGTGTTTCGTTTGTTCATTGCAGGTACTAGTTCTCAGTCGGGATTACAGCGCTTTGGCATCCCTTAACGGCGCCAACATGAAGTTGTTTCAGAGGCCCAATCAAACTCAGCTCCGAGTGCGTACTCTTGCACTGTTTCATCCCTGGTGTCGGTACGAGCTGTTTTTCCCCACCCAATGTCGCTTGTATTTTAATTGGATAGTTGTAAAAGTAATTTGTTGGATAAGTAATGGAGGGATGGTTTTGTAGAACTCGAACGTGCCATCATCCCCTCAGCTTACCCCCTCAAGACCTATCGACAGGCGACCTTCATTTCATATCGTGAGCATGACCCAACCACCAATAGATGGATGCAAACGACCTTCGCGAACATAAAAGCCTAAGGTATTCGGCTGTTGAAATACATAGGTCACGCCCTCGGGTTTTGTGCGGATTTTGCCTAATTTTCTTTTAGTAGCCAGCTGTTTCTCCTATACATTTTCCCCATCCCTTGTATCATACTGCCTGACTCTGTAACCTCAATCTCTCCTTAAAGTATTGGTGACGGGTGCAAAAAGCGTGACGACTGTGGTCGTCGTTAAGTGACACGCAAGAGTCGGGGACTGTGCCGAGACGGCACGCTACGAGATGGATTTGGTGTTCCGTATTTGTTTGCTTCATGTTTGTTCGCCTCTCTTCTCCATCTCCTACCACGATTCGCTCCTCTGCACGCAGAAGCAGCACAGAAGGCACTGAATCGCCCAAACCATGTCCACCGATACTAAAACTGTGAAGAACGACGACGGAGAGACCACAGTCCTTCCAGCTGAAGACCAGGACGAATTACAGCTGGTAATTGCTTTATGGGCAATGACCTGAGGAAAACCTACGGATAGCTTGGGCTACTTGCACGGTAACGTACAAGTGATGACAACTGGAAAGGCTGCGGGTATCTGAAAGTTGTCCACTGCCTTCTTCATGAGAATGGTGACTGGTGTTGGGTTAGTCCCTTATCATGAGAGGAGCGTGGATGGCTGGAGGATTGAGATCATACCGCTTGAACCTGAACAGAGCTCATACCTGCGTAGGGAAGCCTCCCAGTGTCATCGTTCATTTTCTTTATCCCTCAAGAGAGGGAATCTACTCGACTTTCTGACCTTGTTTTTCCAGCGAAGCCTTGGTTACAAGCAAGTAGGTTTATAGCTGACCGACCATCGTACCCTGTTTTATTTTCTTTTCTGTCATCCTTTCCCTAGCAATTGCATCGAACATGGAACATAGTAGAGAGTTTTGCGGCAAGCTTCTGCGCGCTCAATTTTATTGGGGGTGTTAGGTTGGTCGGTGCCATTCTCTCCCTGCCCGTTGTTTGACGGCATCCGATAGATCTGCAATGTTCCTTGGACTTTGGGCCGGCGGCCCCGCTGCTATCTGGCAAGTCATGAATTACATAGCACAGCTGATTCCAACCATCCTTGTTAGGTCGTCATATCTTATTACCATTTTCTTCATGATGATCACAGCTGCCGTCCTTGCCGAAATCTGCTCTGCCCTCCCGCTCAGTGGCTCGATCTATATCTGGGCAGCAGAGAGCGCTGGACCGAAATACGCTCGATTCTTTGGTTTCATCGTCGCCTGGTGGTCGTGCACAGCCTGGATGACATTTACTGCTGGGAATTGTCAAGTTCGTTTATCTTCTAATATTTTTGAGTTTTCTCACCATACTTCCTTTTTAGACTACTGCCAACTACATCGTTTCGCAGCTTGCCGTCTGGGAGATCGACTTTCCGGGTGGGATTACGAATGATAATGTCAAGTGGCGTGCGTTCATATGGGTGATCTCGGAGGCGTTGCTCCTCCTCGCTGTCGCGATCAACTATCTTCCCCCTCGCCTCTATTCGATGATCTTTCGGTTCTCCATCGGTCTCATGATGTTGGACTTCTTCCTTTGCGTTATCTGGCTGCCCATTGGCGTCTCAAACACGTATGGCTTCCGGTCTGCAAAAGATGTTTTTACAATGACATGTATGTTCTGAGGCTCCTTTATCGAGTGCACAATTCTAACGGCTGTTTAGACAATGGGACGGGGGCTCCAGCCGGATGGAATTGGATTCTATCTTTGTACGAGCGCCTATGCAATGTCGGTGCGAGCCGTCACTCATTCTTGTGCTTGTAGTCTCTTCACAGCCGGCACCATGACAGGCTTTGATGCATCTGGACACATCGCCGAGGAAACAAAAAACGCTCGGTAGGCGTCCCGTTTAGCCGTTTAAAAATAGATACATCTGAACAATTCTCTTAGCGTCGTCGCTGGCAAAGGCATTCTATCTAGTGCTCTTGCGACCGGGGTTTTGGGTTTCGTGACTGCCATCCTTTTCCTATTTTGCACGCCCGACTTGGATACTTTATTCGCCCTGCAAGCTCCTCAGCCGTTCGTTCTGCTTTACGCTCTTGCCCTCGGCAAGAAAGGAAGCATATTCATGACCATCATCGCAGTCCTTGGACTCATCATCGTGCGTAATTATAGCTTGTATCTGAATGGAAATCCGACGTCAGACTCTCCCGTTCCAGAACACAAGTATAGCCATCGTAGCCGCTTCTAGACTCGTCTTCGCGGTCGCGCGCGACGGCGTGTTGCCCATGTCTAAATGGATCGGGCAAGTTGATGAAGCTGGCCAGCCTAAGCACGCCGTCACCGTCATCTATATATTCGGAGCCGTGTTACTCTGCACCATCCTTCCAAGTCAAGTTGCCTTTACTTCTCTTGTATCCGCTGGAGGCGTTCCGACCATTGCGGCGTACGGACTTATTGCTCTGCTTCGTTTCACGATGACGCCGGACAACTTCAAGTCATCTCATTTTTATCTCGGCCGTTTCCGGAAGTTTTTCTATCTCGTGGCGATCCTCTTCAATGCTCTCATTGTTGCGGTATGTTCCTAACAGGTTGCATCATGTGTTTCACTCAGTTGCTGTACATATGCAGGTCATGCTCTCCCCTTTCTTCTTCCCGGTAACGGCAGAAAACTTTAACTTCGTGGGTTTTTGGTTCTCCTCGCCATTAGCGATACTCTTTCTTACAAGCGTGACAGGCCTGTGTCATCTTCGGGTCCATCACATTGTTCGGGATCCTGAGTTGGTACTTTACACCTTCCGAAAAATGGCTGCGTCGCGAGCACGTCCTGAAAGCCCTCCGCGCCGCTGACGAGCCAACTTCCGGCCCCAGTGAGCATCTTGATTGAGCAGAATATTCCATTTTCGTAACTAGAATCTCTGCGACTCGTCCTCAACATGTTTCTTCCTTCCCATCTATTATTTCCTTGATTGATCTGCGCGCGGTGCATCCAAAATCCGATATTCTATATATGTTTGTCTTCCTCGAGTAATGTCGGTACCGTCGCTTCCTATCTTCATATAACCTTGATATAACCATTCTCTGAACCTGAAGAATGCGAAGCCCGCGGGATCTTTACGAGATGCAGACACGAAAATCCTTACCTCATGTCGCTGTCAGGAGATAACGGAGGGATGATGCCCTCAAGTACTGCGAGGGCCCTGACTGAACTGGATTCGTCCTACAGCGCTTAGGGATCTGCAAATTTAAAGCAATTTACAGCTCCGGACTCGGTGACTCCGACGCATTTTTCCGTGAAGCAATTACACGTTACTATGCTTGCTGTCGTCCAAACTTTACAGCACGCTTTGTCGCACTCTGGTCATCCGGCTTGCAATACCTCATCGGAAATCTAGGCTTCGCGATGTTCTGCAGCTAACCAGTGATCCATGTCTTCTGGCGGGCCGTCAAGGTGAACCAGAGCCTCTCTGGCAGGGTGCAATGACGACAGTCCGACTATTAGCCACGTTCTGCTCATGAGTATGTTTGCACATCCAAGCAACTGGGTTATCTGCAGCTAGGCACAAATTTCCCCAATGTCCGAGTCGGTGCTTCCCGTAGACGACCGATTGAGATCTGGGATTACCTTGGGTTTCCTTGCCTTTGAGCGTTACTGACGATGAGATGTGATTTCCCGCACGAGCGTCGTTCCCTGGCCTTCGAATTTATTTTTGCCGCGGTTATTCTTAGAATGTTGCAATTGCCGAGGGTGTATGCTAATATACCCTTTCGTTGTGTGCGCTCGCCTATCACACGGCTGCTTTGGCGAGTCGTCATTGGTGACATGGACTCTCAGAACTTTGCTCGACGAGACTGGAGTCAGCGGCCATCATGTTGCACAAGGGAACATCACGGCTGCAAATCTTGAAAGTGGGCTGGCCAGTCTGGAGTCAAGCCAAGTGCCCGCATGACGGTCAGATTCACCAATAGATCTTCCGTCAGGCTACGACTGCATGCTTCGAGCCCTCATCGCGCAAACAACGGAACTTTACTAGTGTGGGCGCATAAGTTGCCAGTTGGCTTGAGAACCTCGTCAATTATACGAAGGCGTCGCTTGGGAAGGTATCTCATGTCCCCCATGAGCCAAGATTTATCCTCTCACCAGTCCTTAAGGATTATTCTGATCTCGACAGCTTTAGTTCAAGTAAATCAATACTACTCATTCGACCGAGGCTACGCCGTCTAATCCCTGTAGCTATGGTCCTGGGAAACTATCCAGGGTCGAGAAGTGTCCAAGGGGTCCACATTGTCAGAGCAGGGTGTGTTCTCATTCGGTGCTGCCCAACCTAACGCGACCTCCGGAGTCGTCGCCGCTACCATCTCCTGTCCGCGGCGCGAGCGTTCTTCGATGGAGACGGAGGAGCGCGGGGTGGACGTGCGTGCTTTTGGGACGGACTGTAAGAGGGAGTATTCCGACTGGAACGGAGATTTGATGGGCCCAGCAGGCGATGTCTTGTCTTCGAGGGGCTTCTCGGAGGCATTCCCATTTCCATCCACGGTCGAGGTCGATGAGGCCCAGCTCACGCGCTTGCCTTTGGAGGGACTAGTGGAAAAACTGGACTTGCGGACGATGGGTGGGTGAGACGAAGCGGTTGTTATTGCGCTGTAGTTTGGAGAAAGAGACGAAGAGCGAGTTTTCTTCTGCTCTTGTCGTATAGGAGGCAATGTGAATATTTCGTCTCTCGCCCTCCTCTTCGCCTTTCTCTCCTCTTTCTGCTTTTTGAGACGGGCGATGCGCGCCTTCTCTTTTTCGCGCATCCGCTAGATCAATACGAGATCAGCAGGGAGGCTGCCCAGTGGGCAACGAGGAGCCTACCTCGGGATGCAGCTCGAGCTCCGGCGGAGAGTCGGCGAATTCTCGCTTGATAACGACAGTCCATACCCACAGCCCAATCGCCGATAACCCCACGCACACCATAAGTCCCAAGCCTCCGAACGCGTAGATCTTGAGGATGAAGGTGCTTAAGGCCGAGAGCGAGGTATCGTTGGCGTCTATCGGCGCTGAGCTGCTCATAGATCCGCTCGCGGTCGAGGACATGACACCCGCGGGCGTCGGGATAAAATCTTCCCTTTCCGAGTTTAAAATGATCATACCGAATAGTGTGGGTGTCGGTTGATGTGCGAGGCGGGTGTTAAACGAATGGTAAGATGTGACGACAAGGGAGTGCAAGGCAGCGGCCAGCGTCGACAAGTGTTCAATGGGGATGTATACCGCAATGAAGAAAGGAGGTGGGACTGTACAGGAGATTCTAAGGTGGACTTGGATTATTTCCATTTAGACTAGCCTGACCAGAGACGGCCAGTCGGCACCGGCAACTGAGTTACCCTCGAGACCTGTCCTTCTAAATTGGTGTGGCGCATGCCTTGTTCGATCGAATTCCCGAATATGGACATTACCATTTCAGACAGTGTGCAGAAGGCTCTGAGGAATCACGGATGTCAGGGCCAAGTGAATATTAAGCCTGATGTATCACTGTCAGAGAGACATGTTTACGTCGAAATTATAAGACTTTTACTGTATGTATTTGTATCTGTCGGTGTGTCAAGTCCGTCATCAAGTATGTGTTTGATAGTACTCAGCACACATATTGCCGCTCGTGGCACGGGGCCTTACTTTTCGAATCTAAAGGTTTAAGTCAATGAAAATCGCTGATAGCGTACAAGGATCAACAGAAAATTGAACAGGAGATCAGAAACTAAAACTCAAGTGAGCTCACTGCGCAATGACGTCCTTCCACGGCCGTCCGCATGCAACCTCAGAACGAGTTTAGATGCTAGCCGCGGAAGAACTGGGCGTAGATGCCAGTCTATCGGCGCCCTCACGCTCCAGGCGTTTAGCCGGATTCATAATCATTCCGAGATGGAGAGACGATATAGCACAATTTGAAATCTTTTGCGAGCGCTCACCTTGACATATGCTGCGGGATGACTGTCCGCGGAGATGCTTCGTGTACTCTACATGTGGAGGGGAGACCGCGAGGAAATAAATTTCCGTAAAATTTTCTGCAAGATATGTATAGTGTACGGGACCCACAGTGGGTCCAATGGGCGCGCATCCACCGATGACGTAGAACATATATTTAGCCGCCCACATTTGATCTTCTAGACAAAGTGGGCGAGATGTGTGCTTTTGAATCTCGCCGTGTCGCAAGAGCATTACGCTGCGACTATTACCTATGAAGTACAGTTTTTAGGATTGACTTAGGCCTTGATCGGCTATCAACGTCTCGTATGATATGTACATTCTATAGCTATAGGATGAGTGTGGGTGTGTGGGTGTCCAGGCAGCGTACACACGCCTATCTAATTTGGTATCATAAATAATGCAAGTCAGTATATAATGTAGGGCAATTAGTCAACCTATGCCAATGCATCAATTATAAAGGAAAACCGTATGAAACTTATCAGCAGCTGACTGCTGCACAAGCCGACGCTTCAACGTCAACGTCAACGGCGGCAGTTCATGTTCGTCGTCGAGGAAGAGCGGGTCCGGGTAGATCTTGACAGGCGTCGGTGACAGACGGCAGCTGTAAGAGACCACGCGAAAGTGCATGTGCTGCACGTTTGCTGAGCGTGTGGTCAAGGCGGAAGGCTGAGCATGGACATGGAGTCCGAGCAACGAGCAACGAGAAATGTCAAGACGAAGAACCAAGGTTCTGCAACCTTTTGACATGCAGCTCGCAAGCACAAGGTCGTTGCCTGCTGCGCGACGTCGGAGCTGTAACTCTCTTCGACTTCGACTTCTCCTGCTTCGCCTCCCGTCCATCTCAGACCCAATCTCGCCCAGCGAACGAATGCACCGCCCGCTTCTACCCCACCCCCACAACACCACACCCCCCGCCCCCACCCCCACACGCGATACCGGCGTCCTGTCGTTCTCGCCGAGCCTAGCCTTTTCGTTCTCGGCGCCAAACCCGGTCCTACGAACCACCCGACCGTCTGAAGTCTGATATGATCACCTCCACAAGCGATGTCGGTGGCCATCCAGGTTTCGCCCCTTCAAGGCCTCATCCTTCATCCTGCATCCTTTATCCCTTCACGCCGCCTCATAGTTGCTCCCTTGCCGCCCTCTTCGCCGCGCTCGTTCTCAACAACCACGCCAAATTCTCGTACACCACAAACGTCACACACGTCCCAGGCAGGACCCGCACACAGCTCGTGCCCAAGCCCCTAAAGAATCCACGCAGACCCTCCTGTGCCCAGGTCCGCTTAATCGTTGCCGGGATGGTGGGGAACAGCTCTACTTGCGCGTTGTTCTGTGTGGGATGGCAGCACGTGACATTGCGGTCCGGGTGCAAACAGGTTGGAGGACCGGAGATCGGGCCGGTAATTGAGTGATGTAATTGATGAGAGGTCCAGGAACGAGGAGAGGTGGAATGACGATGGCCATAGAAGGTGGAAGGAAGACAGAGGGAAGTATGAAGCCGGGTGTAGAGGACGGCGATCAAAGGGTAGGGTGGTCGAGACCCAGTCGTGGGCGATGAAGATGAAGTAAGGGCGATGGACGGCAGGTATGAATTAGTGGTTGGTGGCGGAACAATGAAAAGAAAAATGGGACAGAGGGTTAGCGGAGCCCAGGACCAGGGAAAGAGAGAATAGAAAGATCGAAAGGTATGTGGCGGCAATGGGATGATTGAATCGAATGGGGTGCGTAAAATTGCATGAACGGAACAAATCCTCACCTGTATCCGGGACCTTACGACTTGGTAAGGGTATGTAACCGAGAGCGCAGCAAGCTTGCTCGAGATGGACATGATTGTGTATGAAAGGTTCGACTGTATTCATAGAATCAAGGCGCGCACAGGGTGATGGCGATATATGGGGTTCGATAATTAATCGAGGCGGAACGGAAGGAAGGGCGTATGAAGTAAATGGTCCGATGATGAGAGGGTGAATGTATAAATGAGCAGTCAGTAAGGTGGACCCCAGGGCAATTGCACGCGAAGGGGAACGAGGCGTACCAATTTATCGGCCTCTACATCGTAGACTTTTCCGGCACGTTCATATTGCTTGCGTTTTCGGTCGAATCCCCACGCCTTCATCTTCTCGTAGACCACAAACTGAATAGCGCCATTGCTAACACCGAATAGCGCCAATGATGTGCCGCGTAGTAGCCCGAGCGGGCCCTCTTTACGCACGATGGTCGAAAGTCCGTCTGTGAAGGAGTGAAGTTGTCAGCGTCGCTGGCAATAAGAAAGGACAAGAGAAAGAAGAGCGGTGGTGCTGAGCGTGAAGGAGGACCAAGACTATGGCTAAAGGAGGCGGGAAAGGAATACGCACCCCAAAGTCCACGATAAGCGTTCGGAGCATCGGCACGGGTTGTAAACATGCGGACTCTGACGAGCCAGAGCGGGTTGGTTATCACGGCTGTAACTGCACCTAATCAGAAAATACGGAAGAATGTAAGCCGATGTACGAGTTGAAGCGTGTAGAACACGGGCAAAGGGGAAGTGCGGACTTGCTTGAGCGGAACATATCAGATATTCTGCAGCAGAAAGAGGCTTTGTGATGTCGCCTCCAGAAGCGCGTTTTTTGAGCATGTTGTAGCTGCATTAGAAGATCAGGACGCGAGAAGGAGGGGAAGAGTGGTATGAGAAGGACGCGTGTTGATGTAGGCGAGGAAGAACTTACAAGAGGAAGTAGAGCCCCCAGCTAGAAGCATTTCCAGCGATGTTCGGTACGAGGCCACGGTAGAGTCCTCGCCAGCCCTGCGCCCGCTGAATGTCCGTGAGCGACAGCCATATCTGCTTTCCTATTCCTCCTGTTGGTTTCGTGGTCGTTACTTGTAGCTTTATCTTGAGGAGGTCGAGGGGATTCATGCAGAGTGTGGTGGCGATACCAGCACCGAGTCCAGCCGCGGCATGATCCTGGGCGGCCATCAGGCCACACTGACGACGAAAAAAGGATGGCGCTCACCAAAGCAGTTGTTGGAAAGAAGCTGGGCGGCTGAGGAACGGTGGACATGGTGCCGGGGAGAGACGAGCGCTGCTGACGTCGACGATGGGACGCGTCGGAGGGAATCACGTGCTATGATGGACCAATGAGGAGAAGCCCCTGACGAGTTGAACTCTGGCGTCGCTTGACGACATCAAGAGGCACCACTTGACCAACGGAGGTTATGGCTCCCCCGCCGAGATAGCCCTGGGCCATGTCCTATACATAACCGTTCCTTATTTCCAATCTCTTCGTCAAGGCCACCCACAATCTCCTTCGTACCACCATGATAACCCCCTCGGTCCCCACCATGGCGCCCTCCACAGTCGCCTGGCTCGCTTTCGCGGCGCTGCCTCTCTTCATCGTCGGCAGAGCGGTCTACCGATTCTACTTCCATCCTCTGTCATCAATACCCGGGCCCAAGAGTGCCGCAGTTTCGTCATTGTATCGGGCATACTACGATATCATCCGCGACGGAGAGTGGGTCTTGCATCTCGAGTCTCTGCACGCAAAGTATGGTTAGTGCCCCTCCGCTCCGTCGCCTTAATTAAAGTGATCCGTTGCACGAGTCTATCTGACTGACCCTTTCTCCAGGTACCGTGGTGCGCGTAGGTCCCAACGAGGTATGCACTAGCTTCGACGCCATCGCGACCGCGAGCGCTTGATCGACCTACACCACCTTCTTTTCCCAGCTTCACTTCAGTGATCCCCGCGCCTATGGAGACATCTACGGTTCAGGGTCGACTTTCACCAAGCATCCCATGTACAAGTGCTTCGGCTCCGGCCTCTCGGTTTTTGGCCAGACAGACTTTCATGTCGCTGCGAAGAGACGTCAGGCACTTGGGCCCCTATTCTCGCGGAGAGCGACGTTAAAGCTCCAGAAAGAGATCCAGAAACACGTTGATCTACCTATCCTTAGCGTTATCTAAATTACCAGCTGACCCCTATCCCTATTCTTATTTTCAGGTCGACAAACTCATAGTGCGCCTCGGATCCTACGAATCTCTCGCCAAGCCCGCCGACCTGCACCTCGCCTTCCGTTCCGTGGCATTGGACATCATCACCTCCTACTGCTTCTCCAAGTGCTTTAACGCCCTCGACGCCCCTGATTTTAGCCATCACGTCGCGATTACAATGGACGCCACACTCCATCTCGCCTGGGTCTTCAAGCACTTCATGTTCCTGCGCGGCCTCGTCGACCGCACGCCCGAGTGGCTTGGAACGCGTCTCATGCCCGGCACAAAGGGGTACTTTGACCAGGCGAACCAGCTGGGCGGGCAGATTGATGAGATCCTCGACGACCCGAGCATCCTCCAGAAGGGCGACCACGAGACGATGTACCACTACATGATCACGAAATCCAACGTCAAGGCCGGGCTCCCACCCGTGAGCAGAGAATGGCTGCTCCATGAGGGCCTCAACCTCCGCTTTGCGGGAAGCGAGACCGCAGGGAACACATGCACCATCGCCGCGTTCTACGTCCTGCGCGATGAGCGCCTCAAGCAAACTCTCATGAAGGAACTCGACGACGCTTGGCCGGACGCAGACGCACCAATGGGATACGAGGACTTCGAACGACTGCCGTATCTGGTGCGTTCCACCTTCTTGTGCTTTTCCGCCTCGATTAGGTTAGCCAACTGACATTACTTTCCCTGCACTCCCTGTGAACACACTTTAAATACACGCAGACGGCCGTAATCAAAGAAGCGCTAAGGCTCTCGTACGGAACCGTCACACCCATGCCACGCGTTGTCGGTCCATCGGGGGGCGTCGTGGCTGGGTTGGCCCTCCCACCTGGGGTAAGTGCTTCCTTCTCGTCGAAGCTCGTCCTCGTTGCTCGTTTTCTCTTGCTCTGTTTCTCTTACGTTTTTGCTTTCTTCCATCTGCTTTCTCCGTGGGTGTTCTGTCGCGCCACATGAGTATTTTTGTGCCCATGTCTTTTCGCTCTCGGCGATGGGCTTTTCGAGGTGTGGCGTACCCAAGCGTGCCCACTGTGCAGCCGGCTTGTCCAGCGCTCGCGCAGCGTGCGCGTGCGCGATTTTTCCACCCATTCAACCCCTTTATTCCATGCGACATAGAGTTTTGCGCCGGAGGGCAGTGACATAATTTCAGCTCCCTCGATCCTTTGATCCCGTCCGCGTGCGGTCAATAGGTGGGAAGCGCTCAGGCTAGCTCCCAGCCATGGCACACAGCCTTTAAAAACAACCGAACGGTGCCTATCTTCCTGTCTGTTATCACGATCACTTGCCTTGCCTCCATCATACACTCCCACTCGCGTCCTCTTGTCCAAATGCTCCCTACTCCCGCGAATCCCGTCGTTCAATGCCCCAAACCCAAGGACGAAATCCTCACGTCGTCTCACGGGTTTCGCCCCGTCTATTTTCACGACCAAATCCCAGTTTCACTGCCAATCCCGCAGCTCCCAAACCCAATCCCACTGTCGATCTGAGTTCTGACTTTATTTCTCCTTGGATCTAATCTTATTCACCTTTGCAGACCGTTGTGGCGATGGGAAACACCATCATGCACACTAACCCGGAAATATTTCCGGATCCATATCGTTTTGCTCCAGAGAGATGGCTGGCGCCCGATGCGGCTGCGAGGCTCGACAAGTACTTGGTTGCGTTCTCTAAAGGCCCGCGACAGTGTTTGGGCACCAAGTGCGTGGTCTTATTTTAATGCAAATCTTTTTCCTTGCAGTGTCGCGGTCGCTGACGTCTAATTTCGGTTCGCGCTTCCTCATTCCCTTCGCTCTGTCGACTCTCGCGGTTCGCTCGCGTCCCCAATTCCCGGTGCCCCATTGACACTTCCCTCTGACATGACACACGAATCGCAACGCAACGTCATCGCCATCACTCATCTCATTCTGTGTCATTTTACCTCTGGGTACTTTCCCTCCGACACATGTAACGCAGCCTTGCGTGGTGCGAGCTCTACCTCATCCTGGGAAACCTCTTCCGAAAGCTCGATCTGACAGAGGACGGTACTTCCTCGTGCGTCTATTTTCTTATCTTTGTGTGCTTCGCTTGGGTATCTGAATAGCGTTGCGCTTCCAGGATGGACGACCTCCACTTCAGGGAATATTTCATTCCTCTTTATCGCGGGCATCATCTGCACGCGTACGTCAAGAAGAGGGACTAGGGCTTTGTCGTCGAGTCGTAGCCCTCCTTGGCGGTGGTATGGCCTACGCTTGTCCTCGCACAATCGGGCATGCTTCTCGCTTTCATTTCATTTTCTTTCTCGTGTTTGGGCTGCGGGTGTCATATGCGTTTATCTCTTCTACCATCTGCATGTTGTACTCTGGAACCGTTTCACCTCACCTTCCATCTTCTTTCTTTCTCCAAGTTCTCTCCTCGTGTACTCTATTATCACGAAGTCCCATCCTCCCACCCTCCTCTTCATCTCTCCTTTTCAGCTGTGATGGATTCGCGGTGTTCTGTTCTCGAACCCTTCGCAACTCTGTACCTCTATTCCTGAATGCCCAGTCTCTTGTTATACACCATACCATGGTCGCAACACTTCTGGTCTTCCCCCGTGTGCGCTGTGCCCATTTGTACTGTACATGTACCAGGTATCATACAATCCGGACATTTTCTGTGTAGATGTTAGTGTACGCTGTACAAGCAACTCTCCCATGTCTGTACAACCATGACGATTTACTGCCCCTTCTGGTTATTGCGCTATTAAAGTCGTGGTTCGTGACGAGCCTGAGCTTATTTCATGAAAGATCTACGATGAACCTGCTTCGGGCGTTTCTTCTCTCGTTCCTGTGCCGAGCCAGAAATTCTCTTCACTAAATACTCACCTCTCAATGAAAGTGCCAACCTCGAGACAGGGACCATCCCTGCGTCGGAGTCGAATTCCTTCGAAATTTCCGCCACACAGTCATCGAACGCCTGCGGCAGCTTTCCGATTGTATCGCCTATGTTCACAGGAAAGCCAGTTTACTTTTACATCTGTTCCGATTATGCAAATGTCTTCCTGTCGAACGCTACTTTGTTCGAGAAATTGGTGCGACGGCAAAAAGGAAGTCCTTCTCTGAAGCACTAGAGTCCATCTGGTACGGCTGAACCCTGTGAACCGGGCAAGACGTGCATAGGGGATGCCACTTCAATAATACAGATTCTGTCCTTCTAGAATATACCTCGCGCCCACCACAGGTTTCCGCGCGTGTCACGGCAAAACGTGTACGATGGTGGAGATAGTAAACCCAAATGTGTAAGTCTGACAAACCCGAAGACTGATAAGATCATTGCAGCTCCTCTGCTACGATCATAAGGCATATCGATCATGAATCAAGAATTAGAAAACTAACATGCTTTAGCACGCCTCCGATGAAGAGGCACAGCAGCAACAATCATCAACAACGGGGATTCGAGCGAGGATGAAAGCCTGAGCATAATACGAGTACAGTCGTACCACAGTACCCAGCAGATCTTGAAACTTTGTCTTGTGGCGGCAGGAATCAGAAATACTAAAAATAGGCGGCGGAGCAGAAAAATAGAAAAAGAAAAAAGACGACCACGAAGCTGACGAACTTTTGACTGCTGATTGATCGCACCTGTGTGAACGCCTCCGAGCGAGAGGCAGCTCTTCCCATCTCCTTCAGGCTCCTTGACAGTGAAGCAAGGGTGCAAGTGTAGTCAAAGCTATCGATCGGAGTCCCACGGCGGATAGGCGGCATATGCATCCTTCGAGCATCCCGGACTTCGTGACGAACTCTTTCTCGATAGGCTTCCTTGAAGCTTTAAATAACACCGCCTACTGGAGATCTCCAGGATCGTCCGCATACACGACGACCGGGGTAGGAATGTCAACCGGGGCAGCGGTGGAGAAAACATGGCTCTAAGCGGAACGATAATTGGATAGAAGGACGGGGCGCATTTGACTCTCCGTGGGTACTTGCTCCGTCGTGACCACATTGCGGCAGGAGAATTGAGGGTGCAAGAAGACGCGCCACGGATGAACCTTGAACGCAGGTACACAGAGCCATTCAATAAAAATCGGGTCTAGGGCCAAGCTAGCGAACGCAGCAATACATGGAAATTGCCCAAAAGACACGAGCCTGCTTCGTGCTCCATTTAGGGCGGCAAGCTGGAAGGAGCCGGTGACACTTCTTATCCTCCGAACGAAAACTCTGGAAGAGAGGCAGTTATTTATACTTGCCGTCTGCAACACGGGCGAACAGCAGGCCTGACGCGCCATACCGGGCAATCCACGGGCCTAGGATTTGAATAATGTGGTAAGCCTTCGAAGCTGAAAAGTCGCGATCTAATTAACGTACCCGTGCGGCTCGTGAGAGGACAATGTGCCGGCTTCCATCCTTCCGAGTCGGACTCGGCGTACGTCCAAGTCGCTGCAGAGCGGGCAAGCAGGTCAGACGGGGGTGGTTCCATGAGCGAGGTGACATAATACCTCGCCAGTGCATTTTGAAGTGTCTTGATACCGGGGGATGTAGATGCAAGAGATGTTTTTTTGTATACCGCAGATTCCCGAGCGCCATGTTTGCAGAGAGCGTAACTTTCCAATGCGCAATGGGGCTACCCTCGATGCGCGAGAACTCGACTCGGGACTGATACAGGCATACAAGCACCGACGACTGCAAGTTCTTTTTGACAATGGAAGAAATAACGCTGATTTTGACAAAAACATATCATGAGTCTCAGCCCGCGTATGGGCTTCGTCTCTTGTGAAGGGTTGCGCAAGTTCCCAATGAATTGTCTGATAGCCTGGACGATCAATCACGACTGACTTGAAGGGGAGAGGGAGAACCTTTTGGCGCGGGGGTGTTCTTGGCGAAAGGTGGCCGAAGGGTGTAAGAGAGTTTCTCGATCACTCGAGTGGGGACGCTTGGCCTGTGTAAGGACACCTAAAATAAAGAGGGCGTAATGCGCAACTAATCCTAGATGGCGCCTATACTCAAAGGTGAAGCTTCTCAGTCGGGAATAAGGTCTTGCCGTTGTGTCAGAGCATTTTGAGTTGCCGAGCAGGATTGTCAGGAAAGAGAAGGGTTGCTCAATAGCACATGTGTAGCATGCCTAGAGGATAACATAACATGCCTTCGTACATGTGCTGGAAGCGTCTTCAACAGCGTCCAATGTTAACTTGACGGGCGTAGGAAATGCAAATGGAAGCAGTCACAGAAGACTCCAGGAGGGAGAAATTCGCGGGAGTATGTCAGAGTATGCCGTCCGAATGAAACATATTCTGAAAGGAGTTACGGCATCTTCGTGTGGTCCGCGTTATCGATTCATGTGCGTGTTCATGCTCAGGATGCTTCATGGCAGGTCGTCCGAGCACCTGATCAAACGTGGGCGCCATTGCACCCAAGACCTAACGGAACGTCGATAAATTTCGAAATGGCGGCCATTCATTAGGAAATAGATAGGATATAGAAACGAGTTAATTCGCACCTGCGCACATAATTCGACACGCACTACCGTCGACTTTCATGATTGCTAAGCTCCTGCATGCCCTGTTTTGAATTCGCGTACTTAATGCAGAGCCGTAGTTTGAGTTGATATGAAAGTGGAGTGCACATAGCGATCCAGAGCTCGTACCGAAGCATTGAAGAAAGCGAACTGTTGCCCGGCGTCGTTCTTCCCAGGGATTTTGGCAATGAGAGGCTGGTAGATACGTCCAAGAAGTTGATATCTGATAGTTGGTCTGCGCCACCGACTCTATGAGTGAGTTTCTGTGGATGAAGAGTAAACGCCAACACGTACTGCAGGCTAAGTCGATGAAGGACGTGGTGATGAATGAGCCGGTTCGATGCACGGAGTTGAGTCAATTCAGGCGCGGTTGTACGTTGAATCGCTCGCTGCCACCGTTGAGCACATCTTTCGGGACTTCGGCATTGGTCTGTCCACCATACGGAAACCCGTGCCGGAGTTGCGCAAGAAATGAGCAGGGAAGCGCTTGCAGGCTGGAGCGTGGTCCCAAGAGGCTTCGGAAAAGCGGTTCTCTGGTCTGGCGATTCTATTCATTCAGGAGTAATGGCGGTAGACGAGAAGTAGGGAAAGATTGCAAGTGAACGCGATATGTGGATTCTGGCGAAAAATCCTTCTTTGGGTGACGAGGCATTGTTGGCTGCTTCTGGATGCACCCTGGAGGCACGAAGGCGTGCGCCGAGCAGGGCTGCCATTTGCAATAGGGGAATAAGCTATGTCCGTGGCCATGTGCCCTCGGCGGAGAGCCAAAAGTCGAAGACATAGAGGCGATCGATGGAGCCTGGGGCATGTCTTCTCGTCGTTTAATGGACGATTTGCGAATTGAGGGGGCGGAGGTTGAGGCGAGCTTGTGACGGAGACGGAGAAAGCATGTGGGGAAAGCAAAGATTGATCATGACCCCAAAATCAAGATCCACCACCTTTGCCTTAAATACCCAGCGTGACCTTACCAGGATGCTCCCACTCGCCCTCCGCTCTCTCCGCCTCCAGAGCCCCTCCAGACGCGTTTTATTTCGTTTTATACACTCTTCGCCGCTCTCCACTATGGCACCAACTCCGTGGATTCCCAACCAGTACCCAACGGCGCGCCATTCTGACCACGTCGATCGCTACAAAAGCGCTCAGCGCGGCGACGTCGCGGTTCCCGACCCATACAACTGGTTGGAGAATGACACAGACGAAACAGACAAATGGACTACCTCTCAGGAGCAATTTACTAGGGCTTTCCTGGATAAAAACCCCCATCTCGACCGCCTGGAAAACGTGTTTCGCGACTGCAACAACTTTGCCAAGGTATTAGGCGCCCCTGATCAGATAAAACCCCTGGCAATAATTTCACGAACCTCTGTTCTAGTTCTCCGCCCCAAAGCTTTATGATGACGGCCGATGGTATTGGTTCTACAATAGCGGCTTGGAGCCACAGACGGGTAAGCATCACTCTCCGGGCAGCGCCGACCTCAGGTATTAAATTCCTCCGCCGCCAGCAATGTATCGGTCGATAGACAGCAAGCTCCCGGACTTTGCTAATGTTAAAGGCAGCGGTGGAGACATTTTCTTTGATGTGGGGCTTGTTTTTCCGCCTGCGTTTTCCCTTCCTCTAATGTTATCCACTTCTGAAGCCCAATGCTCTCTCCTCGGACGGAACTGCTTCGCTAGCCACCTTCAAAATGTCGAACTGCGGAAAGTATTTCGCATATGGCATTTCGTATTCCGTATGTGCACATGTTTCTTTCTGATTAGTGAATGACCTCAAAGCCACTCTCGGCCTCGCTGGTATTCAGGGTAGCGACTGCATGACGATCTATGTGCGCCCGTCAGACTCACCGCTCAACAAGGAAGTGGATATGAAGAATGACACTGGTCGCTTCCCCGAGGAGATTAAGTTTGTCAAATTCTCATCGATAACATGGACGCCTGGCTCCGAAGGTTTTTTCTATCAGGTCCGCCGTTGTGAAACTCAGCTGTTTGCTAGCTGACCTTTTTGTCAGCGGTACCCTGGTAAAAATGGCACTGATAAAAGCAGTGCGATTACCACCGACGGGGATTTGGACGCGATGATTTACTATCACCGCCTTGGAACGTCACAGGGTAAAATCCTTTCATCATCCCTCATTTCTTATACTTGACGGTCCTTCAAAAGCGGAGGATGTGCTGGTCTACCAGGATAAGGAGAACAGGGAATGGATGTTTAGCATAGAGGTCACAGAGGATGACAAATACCTTATACTTTACCTTCTCAAGGATAGCTCCAGAGTAAGTCGTTCATTCCCTAATGGTCGTCCTTCTGATCATCGGGCTCATCAATGCGCATGCCCACAGCAAAATCTTTTGTGGATAGCTGACTACGATACCAACGGCATTGGGCCCAACATCCAGTGGCGCAAAGTTGTGAACAAGTTTGAGGCCGAATACGATCCGTTTGTTCTTCCCTCCGTTTCTCTCGCATCTGCGGCGGACTGACTTGTCATCAGAGTCGCCAACAAGGGTTCAGTGTTCTACATTCGCACCAACAAGTTGGCGCCGCAATACAAAGTCATCACAATTGACATCGCGAAAGGCAACGAGACCAAGGATCTCATTCCCGAAAGTGAGGCGTATCTCTCCAGTGTCCTCAGCGTAAACAAGGACTACTTCGCCATCACCTACAAGCGCAATGTGGGCGACACTATCACTTCGAGAAGCAGTGCTTACTCACACATGATATGCCTTCAGGTCAAGGACGAACTTTATGTCTATTCGCACGAGGGCAGGCAGCTCACCCGTTTGGCTGAGGATTTCGTTGGTGCCATATCAGTCAGCGGGCGAGAAAAGCAGTCATGGTTTTTTGCAACGATGCATGGGTTCACCTCACCGGGGACGGTCGGGAGATACGACTTTACGGCACCGGAAGGCCAACGTTGGAGCATTCTTCGGTCTACGCAACTCAATGGATTGGATGCGAACGACTTCGAGGCCCGACAGGTTGGTTCATTCCTGGGCCTACTGCGTACGTTCGAGAACGGTTGTTCTGACAGTACCCCTGTACAGGTCTGGTTCGACAGCAAGGACGGAACGAAGGTCCCCATGTTTGTCGTCCGACACAAGTCAACAAAGTTCGATGGCACGGCACCCGCGCTGCAATACGGTGATTCAATTCTCCGGGTCTGTCGTGATTGAGCGACAGGAATACTTACGACACTGGCCTGGACTGTTCGTCTTCGCAGGTTACGGCGGCTTCAGCATATCCATCGACCCGTTCTTCAGTGCAACGATCCTCACATTCCTCCAAAAGTACGGCGCCGTCTTGGCCGTCCCTAATATCAGGGGTGGCGGAGAGTTCGGGGAGGAATGGCACAAGGCCGGGTCGAGGGAGAAAAAGGTTCCGTTCATTCCGCGCCCCGCCCATTTCAGCCAGTGCTAAATAGGTCTCTTCAGGGAAATTGCTTCGACGATTTCATCGCTGCAACGTAAGAAGCGCCCATTCTCCCTTTCATTAAACGCCTTGCTAAATTTGGAACATCTCTTCTGCCTGTTGCGATAGCGAATATTTGGTGAAGAACAACTATGCAGCACCGGGGAAGGTGACAATCAACGGTGGATCAAACGGAGGTTCGAGGCCGTGTCTATTAGTCGTCCTTCAAAATGTATGCTTACCCTGAGCGTTTGTTAGGCCTATTAGTGTCCGCTTGCGTCAATCGCGCACCTGCAGGAACCTTCGGGTGTGCAATTGCCGAGGTCGGGGTGCACGATCTACTGAAGGTAATCCGACTTTCCCCTGCTGTCCGTGGTTTCTGACGACTCCCTTTCCCAGTTCCATAAATTTACCATTGGTTCGTGGGCTTTCTGAAGGCTTTCCTTCACCACCGGATTAACGAGTCCCACTTATTTGCAGGAAAGGCCTGGTCCAGCGACTATGGGAACCCAGATGATCCATCGGATTTCGACTTCATCTTCCCCTTGTCCCCTCTTCACAACATCCCAACCAACAAGATGTTGCCTCCCTACCTTCTGTTGACTGCGGATCGTAAGCCCTTTCTCCTTTTCGTATGGTCCGTACTTTTTGACAGGCGTTCTTGGCCTCAGACGATGATCGTGTGGTTCCTATGCATTCGTTCAAGCTGGCAGCCACGCTCCAACATCTTCTCCCACACAACCCCAACCCCTTGCTCATCCGAGTCGACAAGAAGGCTGGACATGGTGCTGGTAAATCAACACAGCAAAAGTCCGTTATCTCCCTTTAATTCAAAGGATCTTTCACTGAGTGTCTTGCAATAACAGAATCAAGGAAAACGCGGATAAATATGGTTTTATCGCACAAACTTTGGGCCTCGAATGGAAAGAAGCAGCTAGCCTTTGAGTTCTTTAGGGTAAATTGTGGTTTTCATATCGGACACTCAACCTTGGTGCTATACCCCATCTCTCTCTAAGTATTCTGCTTTCCTGTTCTTGGATATATTGTCGTTGTATATTTGGTACTACATACTCTCTTTTTAACAATCGTATATGGGTTTCGGGGCAAGTCATCGATTCTGACTAGGCTGGTGGTTCGCAGCCTCGCGTTCGTGGTGCATGGTATCGTCATCGTCTTCCCAGAACCTTGGTATATTTTGTCTGTGTCGCCTAACGGATTTGTGCGGCGGTTCATGCGCATTTCCCCTCCAATCGCCGAGTGGAGCAACCCAGACAAACCGTTTCAAGGTTGGGGTCTAATTACATAGGCTATAATCCAGACGAATCCGCGCCCGCCAGTGGAACAATCTCGGTCTTTAATATGCGATTTGCCTTCGACTTTGGCATCGGTGCTTTGATCGGAGAGGTGAGTAAAACTGACGATGAGAAGATGGACCAATGGAAGTACCGTGGTTATTTTCAGTGATGTAAAAGAGACGTAGGATCATGATAGCATCATCGCGACAGAAGCCTCCCGTTGCTTTGTAGCCTGCGTGGATGGGATGCATTAGCCTGGTTATATGGGCGATTTCATTCATAAGTCCAGGCTCTTTAAGATGAGTGGGCTGACGGAAATGACTTACTGTTCATTTACGCCCAAGACGCTTCCACATCCACCGAACCTATCATTAGCACAGCCATAGTAAACCTCCTTGATGCCTAATTGCCTCAAAGCAGAGGCACACATGATACATGGCTCAACGGTGACATAAAGCGTAGTGGTCGAGAGGGGATATCGAGAAATTTCCGGGGTGAGTTCTTTATCTGAGAGGATTCTATCTATCGCTTCCAATTCTGCATGTCTTGTGGCCTGCATATTCGTTAGCAGTTCCATCGGCGGTCGCGCGATACCCACGTACATTACGCAGTTCGTTTGTGCGATTCCGAGCTTTCCCTATAACCTTCCCGTCTCTCACGAAAACACACCCCACCGGCACTTCTCCTGCAGCGAGTGCCTCCTCTGCCTATGACGGAACAGTTGAGAAGGTGTGGCTAGCCACGATGCACGTCGAACTCACCATCTTCATCGCTTCTCTCATCCAATTCAAGTGCTCTGCATCATCCATCGTCACAAGAACCGTTCCATGGCAAAGTGTTGTCGACTGTTGTTGCGATATGTACTGAAGCTGGAAGCAAGTGGAACGCCGACGCTTCAATTGGTGGTGCTGATTAGATTAGATGCACATCGCGGATCAGCGCACGGACCGATTTTTCCGGACAGCTCGCTCGGCGTCTAAATTCTGCATCACCGCTCATGACCACATGCTCCACGCATAAACATAGAAAACGGGAAGTCCTGTCAAAATCATGAAGAATGGTCTGTCGGATAAGGCAAGAAAGGGTCTTTGGGCGCCCTCAGAACCCACCTGGCTGAGCGATTCTCCGATCCACTCTGGCAGGTGCTCCAGTCCGAGTCAGGCTTTCTTCCTGCCACCATCCCCGCCCCCATTCCCGTCACATCGCCCTATAGTATCATTTCATATGAAATCAGCATGACTTCATCTACCCTTCATCGCTGCGTCTACTTATGCCTCGTGGCCTCATCTGTGTTCATCGGGCAGGTTGGTGGAGCAAGTGATTCTGCCGACATTCTCATGGGAAGGATACACTGGCTCGAGGAATTGGGAGGGAATGCCATCCTCCCTCGTCAGACTGGAAATCCACTGCCCAATGTCCCCCCTCAGTGCACGGCGACCTGCAATCCCGTCAACACCGTACTAGCAGCCGTGAGCACCAGTTTTCGGCGGCCTCTGACGTTATTAAACATTTAATTCGTGAAAAGGGGTGTCCTATTTCGCAATGCTGCCAAGCTAGCTTCGCAACGGGGTATTACAACTGCTTCCTATGTGTCGAAGGAGCGCTCGGCATCAACGATTTTACAGTCGCTCAGGGAATCGTTGACAGTGAGCAAGATTTTCCTGATGGCGGCTGTTCAGGAAAACAACTCGCTCTTATCTTCTAGATCTCGTGACCACCTGCGCGAGTCGTGGATTCGCCATTCCGAAGCTCACATTCCCTGGACAAAACCCAGATAGACCTCTCTCCACAGCGATCGCGACCACTGCTTCAATCCGATCGACGACGTCCCAGGTCGGTGTCACCACAGCGGTGTCTACAACTTCGACGCAAATCACCCAGTCAACTGTCACCCAGTCCTCCATTAGTCCCACCACACCCGCACCGGTGGCTACGACCACCACGTCTGCCGGAAGAAGGAACTCAGTTGGGTGTCTCTTGTTCATTTTTGGTGTTCTTACGGCCATGGTCGCTTGGCCGGAATGAGGCTCCTCGCTTCCAAAGTAGTAAATTCATCGTGACTCTTCAGATCAAAAGTGTGAATCCAAATGGGTCGCCAAAAAGAAAAATAACGTACAGTGAAACCAGAAGTTTCATCGGAGGATGAAGTTGCCACCTATGTCAAGTTTTGTTTACGCCCATGGTGGCATGGTCGATTTCGAAATCCTTAACAAGAGTACAGTAAGATTGGATAAAAATTTGGCAGATCGAATGAATTACAAACCTTGCTGTCCAAGATGCAGAACTCCCTCTCAGGTCATTGAAATAGCCCAATTGTTCCAAGCTCATTAAGACCCCCCTGCTCTACCCACAGATCCCTCGAAGGCCATCTTTCTCAAGGCCGAAAAATGCCTACTGAGAAAGTCCACAAGGTCTCTCCAGGGTGAGAGATCGAGGTGATACGAATCGTATCTAACATAGATACTGCATTCTTGGAGAAGGTTGCCTCTGGAGAAAGGCCAGGAGCCATGGGAAAGATTTGTAATGTTCCATAAGCTCGTCTGCTTCGTCATTTGGATCACGATGCGGGGAGCGTATGCCTGTCACAATTTTTTGCAAGTTCTTGAGTTTGATGAGCTCGAGATAAGAAGTTGTTTGAGGGAACATTGCTAGCATCAGACAGATTCTTCGAGGCTCTCGGAGCAGGCATTGATGAACCACCAGACAGCCATGTGGTCCAACATCATCGCGTCGTCCACGTCGACGAAGAGCCTCTTCAGCTTGCTGACGTTCAACAGGTGAACCTGGCATGAGCAGCTCCAAAGTTAGAGGCGTGGCCCTCTGAAACATCGGAGAGTCAGTAATGCGACTTGGAAATTTAAAATCGGTTGTGTGGCAGTCTAATATATCGAGTGTAGTCAACGAGAAATGCTGCACGAAAGGCTGGAGCGAGTTATGCTTGATGTTGGTTCCCCCGTTCAGGGTCAGGGTATCGAAAGGGAAGACGGTCAGATCGACGTAGATTAGGCTAGGGAGCCGGACGAGGGCCTTAAGGGCGGAAATTAGTACTTACCTCTGGTAAATCTGCCCACTCCGTCTGTGCGGCACCATGGTAGTTCACTATGAGTGCCTGTAGTTTTAAGATTCGAGGTAAGCAAAGGTGCAGCCTGGCGTCTTTTGAGAGCCACTCTTCGTAGATTCGCAAGTCATATTTGTCCCTATTCCTGAAGTCGGTGTTCCATGGGCAATTGGCGATTTTCAAGCACTTTATGTGCTGATCAAGATGAGCAGATTCGTCAAGGAGCTGTTCTCAGTTCTGAACACCTCCTCATTCAGTTGGTCCTGGGCCTTTCCAAGGGCCAGGGAGGACGATTTCGGAGAAAGGGATTGCCTGGCTTGCAAGCTAGCGAACGACAGAGGGCCCCTGTCGAGCAGACTTTGAGAAAAATTTGGTCGTTCCATAGATAGCTGATGATTTCTGCTTGTATCCCTGTTGGAAGCATCTTTAGTCCTGGTCGAGGAGCTGATGAAATAACGCGTCTGTATAGCGATGAGTAGTAAGTAGTAAGTACAAAGGCGAAACGAACGCATCGTGCCTACGACAAGTCACGTGTAGTAGATAGATGTTGTGCGACATCGCGGCCAATACCGGCCTCATTCTCTCGCTGCCGGCGACGACAACCTCGGGGACCATTTTCTTGCAGGGTTACCTGGTGCGGGCTTGTTCCATGATACATTTGCGTCAAGTACTTACATACCTCTTCAACAGTAATGTGATAACATATGCAATGCACCTGGCAAAAACTAGCCAGGAAGCTTGTAGCTCGCGGCATCGGACAACCAACACTCCCCGTTCTCGCTAATTCTCTTACTCGATCGTTCCTCCTCAAACCGTTCTCCTCATGGCAAAACAAATCGCCCAATAATTTATTTTCAAGAAGATTGTTCACAACCGCGGAACTTGCCAACACCTCTGCCGCACATTCCGTCCCACACTTCCCCTTTCCTCCCGCCAACGTCGCCCTCGGACCGACCACCCAAGTCCCCCATCCGGGAAATCTTCCTACGGATCCTTCTCTGACTCCCGCCCAACTCGGACGAGCAGCTGCCTATGCTGTCGACCTTTCCATTCGGCAAGGCAACGTCACAGACGCGTACCACATTGTCAACGCGGTCCGCTATGCTGGTCTGGCGCGAGGTGCGACCGAGCTTGCCAGCCTACGCTCCATGGATCACTTCAAGGCAGCTGCGGCAACCTTTACCAAGGACGTTTCTCCAAGACTCCCATCGCATGCTCTCCTTCATGGGCTGATTCGTCTGAACATGGCTCAGAAAGCCGCCAACCTTTCAGAGCAGATGATGAGGGCTGGTATTCGTGTCCGTTGCAGGACATTGGAGGCGATCTACTCCAGTTTGGCTCAGACCTCAAACCATACCGCTGCCATACGGACTCCGATGCAGTTTTCTTTGCACAGTGACACCGTCTTGAACCTTAGGTCGTCGATGGCCAAAGACACAAGCTCACAGTTTGCTATTCGACTTCTGATGTTAGCGCGTCAGTCGAGGCAACGTCGCTCTCATAACATGTTCAAGACTTTGATTAAGTTGTGCATACTCAACGGAGAGATCATCGTTGGGTCTCTGCTTTTCGGCACTCTCGTACGCGACTGGCAAGCTCGGCAGCTATCTAACTATCCAACTGTGCCAGCCCAGTGCGAAACACCGCGTCCGGTACACAATCGGTTGAAGGAGATATGTTCGGCTGTGGACCATACCTTCTCAAAGCACAGAGGCGAAGCCTCGAAGGCAGACTTTCAAGAAGCATTACAGGCGTTGGCAAATCTTGCTGTGCTCCTGGATAGGCAACTCATTCCCTTTAAGCACATCACGCCCCTTCTATGTTCGCTGCGCAACTGTCCTCGCGCGCCGAATATGGTCTGGATCCCGGATAAAGATGGTACCCCAAGACGAGTGCAAGCATACGCCTATTTTCACGAAATCCTCGCAAGACTCATAGAAAGACTGCCGACGCACGACCCTATGCCACCAAATGAGAAGATGCTACCACGGCTCGATCGAATGAGCTACAACACACTCCTCCATTACAGCCTTCTTCATCGACGCTCGATGACTCTCGCAGAGAGGGTTCTCGATCATATGACCCACTTGCGACACGAGCCATACGAGTTAGACACGGTGTCTATGAACATCATCGCAAGGGCAGGCACTCTCCTACGGGACCCCAAAGTCGCTCAGTTAGCACTATCGCGCATGCAGAAGACCCCGCCAGCGGATTCAGATCAACAAGACCCATTACTTACTTTGTTGGACATCGCGCAGCAAAAGGGGAACAGACATACCCTTAGCACTCGGATCGCACACCTCATTGCCATAGGCCAACCCAATATCGTCGTTGACGCGGTACCCTATTTACTTCCAGGCCTTACTCGCTCGATGTATCCTCAAGGCAACATCACGATGAGCGCCGAAGAGGTACGAACTCTTCAGCACCAACACCGTGAACAAGGCCTCCAGCACGCCGTCTACCTTGGTCCCGTTATCCTCACCTCCATCCTGAACGCGTTGCAGAAGGCTGGTAGGACAGGCCTCGCCGAGAAGGTCTGGGAGTGGACAAAGAAAGCGGAAGCTCTCAGCTGGACTCCTGGAGACGATGGCAGCGTTCGACCATGGTGCATACCTGTACATGCTTACACCATCATGATTAAGGTCTATGCAGCTGAAACTCGGAGAGAAAATCTGGCCAAAGCCGTTGGATGGGGCGGCGAACGTTTCCATAAACGTTCCTCACCACAGAAAACTCCAAGACAATTAAGGCAAGCGCGTGCCACGCTCGGCCGCCAACTCGGCCTCGAAACCTACCATGCCATGCAGGCTGCCGCCGCTCGAACTGAGCAGAAACTCGCAGAGTTACACGACCTCTCCTTGAAGCAAAACGTTCCTGTCAGCATCGCGAAACGCGAACTCGAGATTCCTCTCCCTGACGCGCGCTTCTTCAACGCTATCCTCGAGATTGTTGGCTGCCAACCCGGTATGAATCCCCGTCGACAGCGGAGTCGCTCTTTCTACCGGCACCAGATCGGGCTGGTCAGGGAGAGGTTCATCTGGGACGGCAAAGTTTCGCCCCGTGGTCCTGATCTAACCCTCAAGGCAGTCGTGAGACATATGATCAGTGAGGGCTTCCCAGTGCCGTTGCTCTACCAGAAGCTTCTTGTCGGGAGGTGGGATGGGCCTGCTCCTGAAGGTTTGGATCATGATGTTCATCAGGAGAAGGATATGCGGCCGTTCGCCGCTTATCCTCTACCTTCTGTTGATGACAAGAAAGGCGATGAAGTTGAAAAGGTGCCCAGGGTCATGCTGCCAATATATGACAAACGATCGTTTTCTCCGCATGCTTATCTGCATCGACAGCTCAAGAGGATGAAGAGGAGGCCAGGGGCATTTAGGAAGGTATACCCAACAAGTAGGGTATGAATCAGTATATTAGTGAGACATAATAAGATATATGCAAGGAATAGGGTCAACTCAGGTCTCCTAAGCCCTCTGGTTTCCGTTGAGGTTTCTCCTTGTCCATACGATGCAGCACCCGTTCCCGCTTTTCTAACCGTTTCTTCGCAAGAGTCTCGAGCTCCTCTTTCGACGGCAATTCCAGAGCTTTCTTCACTGTGCTCTGAAGGTGTAGAGTCGCTTCTCCCTTGAAAATTGACCGTTCTTTCCACTCATTGCTCACGTCCTGCAGCATATCGGCGACTTTCTGCATGTGTTCGTGCATTTCCGGTGATGTGGGTGCGCGCACCCCCCTCTTCGGCACGAACTTGACGTCGACTCGTACAAAACCCTTCTCCAATTCCTCCTTCACCTTCTGGATCTTGTGCTCAAAGTCAGCATCTGCCGTCAACCAGGTCAACTTCATCTCCTTCGTAATGATCTTCCCTTTGCGCTCCAGTGCTTTTTTCTCTGCCTTCCTCTCCAACTTCGCCATCTTGTCCTCCAATATTGAATATATGCGCACAATAGGAGGCTCGTGTGAGATGAGCCGGATCAGGTGCGTTTTCGTGTCGATAGTTTCAAGAATCTTGCTGACCTTCTGCGCGTGGTGGTGCGTTCCGTCCGCATCTTCTAGTATTACAATGTGATGGGGTATTTGTGCATTGATAGGGTATTTGCGCTGAGTTGCAGCGTTGCGCGTGGGTGTATAGTGGAAGAACCGCGTCATCCTGGAGAATTCGTCGGCGCAGCTATGATTTCGGGAACGGGGACGTAAAACAATGGCAGCGGTCATGCGGAACGCGATGAAAGAGCTCATAACGGCGGAATAGTGAGAGTTTATTCAGTGGTATGAGGAGGTAAGGCTGTGAAGATGAGAATTGGCACAATTCAGATTCCTGGAAGTGTCGCGAGCAAGTCGCGGTGGCTCCGCCCTTATATTCGCGATGTTTGTTTCTGAGGTATTTGCACGCGCATGTTGGGCCGGATATCTTGAGACAGGTTGAACATTCGAAGGCATTTGCATGCGGAAAGTCCTTTTTCTGTAGTAGTCCTTATGTTTCACAGGCGCATTCCAAGCTGTCTAGAATATTAGCACGATTCGGAGTGTATCATTTCGAGGCTATGCATAGTGGCACAACGAGTTCCATGGATATAGTGTAGATAACAATAAAGAAGTCAACGATTGTCGCGTTTCAAAGGATTGCCGGTATCATAGGCAAGGTGGGCCAGAAACCAAAGACGAAATTCTAGGGTGTGAGTGGATTATTAGCGATTACAATGCGGGCCAGAGGGAGATACAAAAAGAAAAGACATCTAAAGCAGGTCGTGAAGGACTTGGTCATACTGGTGAGGCATATGTGCTCTAGAGAAAGGTGGAGTTAGCATGACCACTCTAGTAAATAGAAGCAAGTGACGTACGTTAGCATGTTCCTCGCAAACACGATCTGTGAAAAGACCTTCTCGACATCTAACACCTCGAAAACACGGAGCTTATGCTGGCCAGAAGCGGGAGACGTATTATTTGGAACAGGGGGTCGCTGATGAGAGGGGTGTAGCTCGCCGTCTCTCATTGCCCATAGCACGCGTCCAGGTGGATATAAATTCCTATTCTGCATGTTGGCTTCTAAGGTCTTTCGCATGGCGATGAACTGCATCGACAAAGAGCTTCCTTTCAGCAAAAGAAAAAGGAAACATTTAGAAACCCACCCAATCCATCTCGTCGCTGGATTCCGAACCACCTTTCCACCGCTTTGCGCGAGTTGTCACAGCAGACCACCCGTCTCCACTTTCTCTTTCTTCTGCCTCACACAACCACATGGCAGCGTTCTTGAGGTCACGCACGGATCCAAGAGAGAGACGCGAAACAACGTCGTGCGAATAGACAAGAGAAATGACGAGCTTCTCTGAGAGGCGCGAAAGGGCCCCGTCTGTCAATGCTCTGTCATAAGATACCATAAGGCATGCCAGGCTCGGGAAACAGGAATGGTTGAGACTCACGGAGGCGCGAAACAATAGACTTGCACGAGACGGCCAACAGGTAGTCCGCTTGATCGAACCGTCAAGCACGTCTTCGGATCCGCCCACAACTATTATAAAAGCGGACTCAGGCTAGCTCTTCAAAAGATGAGTCGAAAGACAGACCATCCCAAGAATGGCGGCGACACCAGCACCTAAACTATGCCCACATAGAACGAGATCTAGCATGTACGTCAGCTGATACTTTTCATAACCAGGAGGGAAAAAATCAAGACAAACCAAAATCAGGATTATGATGCAGTGCCTCCATCACTGCCAATTGCACTGGCTTCCCAACATCACCCATTGCCTTTGCCAACCTCAGCATGCCACCATGAACATGGTATGTTGGTGCACCGCCATCACTTGCTTCTTTCTCCGCTATCGTAGGAAAAGAGAATTGGCCGGGTACAGAGACGTAGTCTTCGTCGTCGCTATGGGGGGCCGGAGGCGTCGATGCGGGTTGGAAAGTTTCTGGCTGGCAGGTGAGGTCGACGGCAATTTCGTTGAGAGACATCGTTCCTCGTATGACGAGGACAACTTGTCCACGGCCATGATCTGTCAGGACCCAGAACCGAGGCATAAGGTGTTCATTCCCGATGACCTTCGTGGTTTATGGAGTAAGGGCTGGGCACAGAATAAAATAGCACACTTACTGCCGTAGCTTTCATCTTTCCTTTATTTGGCCTCCTCAGCCTGATCGTCTCCGCGTCCGTATGCTGCGTCGAGCGCTCAAAAATCTCTTGGTCATGCTTACCCAGCAGCACATCCCACCATGAATACTCTTTCTTGGCCTCTTCAGCACCGGTGGGCAGTTCAGGGAAACCGTCCCCAGCAGCCTCGGCCTCCGACGCATCAACTGCGTTTGCAAGTTGAGCTTCCTCCGCAGTCTTCTCGCGGTCAATAGATGCGGAATCTGACGCTGGCAGTAGTCCTGAACTGATGGGTTTCCCAGTATTCCCGAATGCTGTTGGAGACACGCCAAAGAACAGCAGACTGGCTCCACCATATCCGGCAAGGACCATTTTGGATAGCCTTCGTAAGGTAGCCTTCAACTCAGCAGTAGTCCGGTATGTATGGGATATGTCGAGGATAGTGGAATAAGGCGCTCGACTACGATTCTGTGATAAATGGGACTTCGTTCTAGAGAGGTAAATCGAAGAGGCACGCGACCGGCTGGGCTCTGGTTCGCCGATGTCGGCCGCGATAATTTGAGGCCCTTGCTGCCCTGGAAAAATTACATCTGATGTAACGCGTATCCGAGAGGATCTACTGAAGATGAGAAAACACGGAAAAGAAGAGGGGATGGAGACTCACTTATGGGTCAATGTCCGATGCGTCTTTGGTACATCCTTGACGTCAATCTCTTTCAAAGACTTGAACCACCGCTTCTCTTGCCACTCCTGAGTAACTCCCTGCAGAGCCACCCATCCTACTATCGCGCGAGCAACCTGTGTGAGGCCGTACTGCTTCTCCGGTAGATTTTCATCGTTAGCTTGTGTGTTCCACTCCCTCCGAACCAGACCAATAAACGAGGCCAAAGAGAATGATGCATCACTGCTGCCAGGAAATATGACTGAAAGAACGTTGATAGAGCTATGGGCGGCTAAGAGCGAAGTGGAAGTGATGTATTCGCTGAGGTGAATTGGTGCAAGAGTGATTTGTTCAGCCAGAGTGAGTACGGTCGAGACCGCGAGACCGAAGACGGGGCGAGTGACAGTGCTTCCTCCAAATATAGTAAAGTCGAGGACAGCGGTGGTGACCCCGACTGCGGTCGTTGCAATGCCTCTGGCAATTGAGAACTACCAGAGTACAAGGAAGTGAGTGCTTCTCTGGGTGTGATATGATGAAAGTGGACTGACCCCTAACCGAGTGCCGAGCTTAGCCGCCGAGAAGCTGAATGAGGTCGCTGTATGAGCAAGATCAATGCCTTGCCTGCTGTATCTATCCCAGTTCGCCATGCAGCCTCTTCAGCATCGAAGAAAGTGGACAAAGCGGCGGAACGGAAACCAGGCCAAGCTGGATATGCCTGCGGCGAAAGGCTTTTCCGCGTGATTCGGCAGGTTGCTACCTGGGGTTAGGGCTAGAGGAGTTTCTGTTGCGCCACTCCAACTTTTCTCCCTTCTTGTGTTGGAGATATTGCTCTTAGCGTCTCTTCCCTCTGGTGCTCATGATTTCGTTCTGTTATAACGTCTTTCTTCTCACAGACAAAATAACCATTGTCCGTAAACTAGTCACTTAGTTCGCTAAGTAGCTTGTCGACGCTCGTCAGAGTCATGACATCATATGTATGCAAAAGTGTTGAATCCTTCCAATACACTCGTTCCAGTGCGCCTCTGGGCGCTCCAGGGGCGCTCGCTGGAACTGCGAAAATGGATATCGTAGTCTGTATTACGTAGAAATGCCAAATACGTTGAAAGGAAATGCATCACGTGGGCAATGAACTTTGGTCCAACTTCAAGCTTCAAGTTGCAGTTCAGTTCTTGAAGACAAACGGCTGGCCATATTCATTGGATTTAGGTGCTTTGAGTCTCGGACACTTTCAGTCCTCATTCATCCTAAGGCATGAGTTATGAGCGTCACGGTCGTGGAGGAGGCTACCGCAGACGATATCACAGAGACCGAGGTGAGGAACGGACACTTATGAGTGACCCACCAATGTCCTCCCTCTTCCATTCCACAACTCAAAGTTTGGTCTGCACAGATGACTACGATGACCGTCGCCGCGAGCACATTGAAACACCCGATGAAAAGCTCAAAACTACCATAATCAAATATGGGGAGGTGGTGAGCACACGAGTGTATTGTCGCCATTGCCTTGGAGGACTTAGATGCCATGGAACGTGTCGTGCAGGATCCCATCGAGGAACTACCCCGTATAGAGCAACAGATTCGAGACCAGGTCCCTCGCAACATTCCAAACCTTGCTGAAGCGTTCCGAATTGCGTATGTGTCTATCAATTGGACCCTCTTCAAACCGCGTACTGACAGGCAACCAGTGTAACAGAGCAGCCCTATAAAATACCCTTCTACGCTGCGCTTCTGCGACTATTACATGACCCTTCCGACCATGGCATACCTGATGAATCACCTGTTGGGCGACTAGTTTTGGAGGATTTCTGGAAAGGGTTCCAGGCATTTGTCGACAAGGTTTCATGGAGAGAGACGCGGCTATGCGTGAGTTTTCAAAATTAATGCATATGATGAAGCAGTCTGGTGACGTTCTCTGTGCTAGATTCACTTCTTTGCGCATTTGACAGTGGCTAAAGTAATCTCGGTGGAATCCATGTTCTCTCTTCTTCGGTCATTCACTGCTGTTTTTGACGAATTCGGAGTGTCTCATGGCAGAGCTAAGAAGGCTGCGTTGTGTGCCGGTGAAGGATTATTAATTGCGAGTAATATTTACTCAATCACCCTGTCTATTACTTACAAATGTCGAAAAGGCTGGCCCGATCCTGAAAGCACACACCTCAACAAGCGTAGACGAAATCATCAATGCTATTCAAGCATATACCGACACAACAACACAACAAAAGTGGCTGGTTTCTCCTGCTACCCGAATTTCAAGCCCAACTATACCTCATGACACCAACGTGGAGGTATGATGTTATTACTTTGTCAAGAACTCCGCCTTATGGATATTGATTTAGTTGCTTGACATTTTGTTGAGCTCTTTAGTTCTCCTCAACAAGTCGAATTTCAATGACACGGCAGACTGTGTCCCGCAACCTTACAAGGCTTATCCAGACCTTGACCCGGCGTTAGTGAAACCTTACGACTTACCGGTGGTGCTGGTACCCCCTGAGGTCATCGAGCTTGAATCCATTCCGGCTGACTCTGGCGAGGAGGCTCAGGTGAAGAAAGAGGAATGGCCAGAGTTCTACGTTCGCCTCTTCCCTTCAGACGTCAGTTCTTTTTTGCTATGTTATTTTCACAAGTAAAATTTCTCCTAGATTTCTCCCGATCCAAACACACCTACAGGATATGTCATTCGGACTGCTCTGATAGATATCATGGACGTATTCGAAGTCAACCGGAAGGAATGCGCCCGACTGCTGCTTGAGTACCCAAAGTGGAACTTGCCTGGAACCTTTAAACCAAAACCTGGGGCTCCTGTGACAGCAGAACCTGTACCAGGGAAAGACTGGCAATTGGAGAGTACAATCATTGAGGTGTGAAATCATTCAACTTCTCGAGAGCTGGAGATTGATCTTTATTGAAACAGACAGTACTTGGTGCCTACTTCGTGTTGCCGGAATCAACATCGAAGTCGATTTACTATATCGCCCTGATCACAGAACTGTGCAAACTATCACCATCTACCGTAGGACCTGCTGTCGGGAAGTCTATTCGCAAGTTGTATGGTTCATTATCAGAGGGTCTTGACGTCGAAGCTGCACGGCGGTTTGCGGAGTGGTTTGCGGTCCATATGAGCAATTTCGGGTTTGCGTGGGTTTGGAAAGAATGGTACGTCTGTCAAGTATCGCGTCATCTTCTAGTCTGACAATTCTCTGCGTGGCAAATACAGGGTTCCGGACCTATCTCTGGCTGTGCAACATCCACGTCGAGCATTCATGCGGAGAGCAGTCGAATTCGAGATTCGTCTTGCTTATCACGAACGCATCCTTAAGACTTTACCGGAATCGATGCAGTCTCCGGATGCATATGTCATCGCTGAACAAGCTCCGAGTCCTGCATATGACTACGAAGATCCTGGTACGCCTCCCTTGGAAGTTGAACCTTCCAGTAGATTATCTCACACGCTTCTCCTTAGCTAATCCACACCACGATGCCGCAGAGGCCGTCTTGAACCTGTTGCGCGGTAGGGCCAAAGTCGAAGATGTCATCGCCCACCTTGATTCATTGAAAGGCACCCTGGAAACATCTGACGAGAGCACTGTGGACGTAGATTCTCTCATTCGCTCTATTGTCATCCAGTCCCTTCTGCACATTGGCTCTCGCTCTTTCTCTCATTTCTTGAACGCGATCGAACGATATCTTCCACTCTTGCGCAACTTGGCTACCGGTGCAACATCGAATACAGGTGCTATGGGCAACCCAGAGGCGAAGGCAGACATTCTTGCTGCTGCAGCCTCGTTCTGGAAGTATAACAGGCAAATGGTCCTAATCGTCTTTGACAAGTTCATGCAGTACCAGATTATCGACCCAACGGACGTCGTTGCATGGACTTTTATGAATGGCGTCGCTGTCGGTCGACTCACTGAGCTGGCGGGCCCGATGAATCTCAGCGCATTTGAGTGGGATTTACTGAGGTCGGCACTGGACAAGGCCAATGGACGTGTCACAATTGCGAGGAGAAAGGTAACTGCCCTAAGGAAGGAGGATGATGACACCCGCGCTCGTGTCAAGGCTCGGGCTGATGAGACGATGGAGGTTGACACTGAACCTAAAGGTAAGTTGTGTTGCCCCTTCGTTTCTGAGCGTTTCCTGATCTTTCATTGCAGACGATGCGGAGGCTGTAGCCCCTGTAGTCGACAGTCCGCAGCTAACCACTGCTCTCAAGGCATTCTCGAGCCTTACCAAGGAGCAGAAAACAGTGCTTTCGCGGACGTTGGAAGGGTTCGTTTCGAGCCTTGCACCGTCGGAGAGCTCCCCGCATCCTAATCCCCATGCGCGCACTGTTATCACCGAGGAGGCATGGAATAATCGGGCGAGTTGGGGGAGAGATGAGTGGAACGCCTGGGAAACCTGGGGATGGTATCGGCAGTTCTGCAGAGCGGTACGTGATTGTGCAAGAGATCGTCATAAACCTGCTAACCCTTGCTGTTGGTACCTAGTACTCGCCTTACCTGCGCACATACGCTAATACGCTCTACACGATTTCGTTTTCCAAGTTCGACGGGGCAAAGGATCCTGCTGTTGATCTGCTGAAGATGATATGGAATGTTGCGATGGGTCAACTTGAAGAGGCCTGATCGGTGTTTGGGATTGTAACTTGTCCGAGAAAATTGCATAATCGCGCTGCGATGTACTTAGTCTCCTTTTCGACGAAAATCCTTTTATCTATGCCTAGACACTTGTGGTCAGAGAACCCTGTGTCAGATTTGTTTGGTTGTGATTGGCTGCACCTTCGATATCTCAACTTGAAGCAAACTGAGGAGTTAATTATCTTTGGTCAGTCGCTCGAATTTTATCCTAACATCAGGAGTCATGAACATGGAGGAACCTGTCCAGCAAGATAGAAGGAACTCTTCGAAGGAAGTCATAGACCGAGATTCCCCAAAGGCTAGTCCATCTCGAGCACGGGACGAATATGATGCCGGAGCCAAACGCGTAGACGATTATTCGGACGAAGGGGAAGAGGAAGGTGGTCATGGATCAAGAGAAGAGAGCGATGAGAATGAGGAACATGAAGAAGGGTACGTTAGGGGAATGGATCGAAGCGGCTTCAGCGGAGACAAGACTTTGAAACCATTAAATCCAGAGGCTCTCACTGCCTTCACGGCAGCCCAAGAGCGTGCTGGAGTCATTTATATTTCAAGAATACCCCCTGGCATGCAACCTTCGAAAGTGCGCCATTTACTAGGTGCTTACGGCGCTATTGGACGCGTTTATCTGCAACAAGAAGGTACAACCTGAGTCTGCTTCTATCTATTCGATTCTGACAGCATGTTTTAGATGCCAAACGTGCGTATTTAAGGCGCAAGTATACTTCAACCAAAAAACCCCACTACACCGAGGGCTGGGTCGAATTTAAGGACAAGAAGATTGCTCGCAGCGTGGCCGAGATGCTCAATGCCCAACCCATCGGGGGCAAAAAGGGAACGCGATGGCGTGATGACATATGGACCATGAAATATCTCCCCAGATTCAAGTGGTATATGCTAACAGAGCAAGTTGGTAAGGACGATTTTGGTAGAAAGTCGCTGGTTTTGGTTTGCTGATTATTCTTTCTTTTTTCAGCTCACGAGGCAGCAATACATAGGGCCAAACTTCGCGTCGAGCTTTCTCAATCTAAGGCGGAGCAACAACAGTATCTGAGGAACGTCGAACTTGCGCGTGTATTGGAAAAACGTGCCGCGAAGAAGCGAGAAAAAGGAGAAGAATTCGAGCTACAGCCAATTAACCAACCAAAGAAAAGACCGTCAGAGGAAGAGGGGGAAAGTAGTCGAAAGAAGAATAAACAGCAATGCGTAGACAGACAAGACGACCCTTTAGATAGTGTCTTGAACAACGTATTCTAGCTTTCCCCGGTGCAAAAGTTTGGAGAAGACGAGCAGAGACAGGCAGAGATGAGCCTCCGCAACGCACGGGCCTAGGGTCGTGATTGAAGCTCCGCCCGAATTGCATGTAAATGGGCACGGCAAGGTCGTCTGGCAGTCATCGCGAAACACTGTTGAGCGTGTCGAAAGTAACGTTGTGCTCGCTGTCGAGGCCAACTTGCGCGCTGTGTTCGTGATCCTAAGAGGTCTGTGCTTCACTATGCTCGACCTCTCTCTCGCAGGCTCTGATCAGCCGTCGTAATATTCGCTTTCTCTTTCTACCCTCAGCCCTTTCCTCTAAAAGATGTCCTCCTGGTCTGCTTCGTCATACCCTCCTCCGCCCCGTCGTTCTCGTTCTCGTTCTCCTCCACGCGGAGGGTACTCCTCAAGCAGGCCGTACCCTGACTCTTACCCGGACTCATTCAGACCAGACTGGGACCCCTACGAACGGGAGAAGTACTACGAGCGCGACCGCATGCCTTACGACTATGGAAGGAGAAGGAGTCGTAGTCCTCCAATGGATGATAGTACGTACTCAAATTGCTGTAATTACTTTCAATCCTCTGACATTCACTGTGTGTAGCAGGCAGAAAGCGACGAAGATCGATGTCACCGTATGACAGAGAACGATACGACCCACGGCCACGCTTCAGCGATGACTACGGTTTGGCATCACTTTAATGTTAGTCTTTTCCATGAATCTGAAACAATTACCTAGATGCGCATTCGCGCTATGGGTACTCTTCACCACGTCGTCACTCAGGACCCTTCCCACCTTCTCGGAGAGCTCCGCCCGACCCGCACACCTTTGACTATCCAGCATCTCTGAAGCAATATGCGGACTGGTTCCGTTATTTCTACCCGCAGCAAGCCATCGAAGAAGACAATGCGGACAAAGCTGCTGAGCAGGAGGCAGGTGACGGCTCAAAGCCTCGTAACGGCATCAAAAGTAGATGGGAGAAGTACAAGAAGGAATTCTCTGCAACTCAGGTTAGCCCTCTTTTCCTTTACTACTGCGCTTTCAAGCCTTGTGTGCCCGCGTTTTGTGTGCCCCATCCCAATGGCCATCTTTGCTCGTGCCATTTGTCTTTTTCAACGAGAGTGTCAATGGCTGAACCCTGTCGCGTATTGTAGCTTCAAACGATGTTTGAACACCATAGGAAATCGCCATGGTTTGCCGAAAAATATGACCCAGCACCAGAGTTCGAAAACCTTCGTACCCGCGTGAGAAAGGAAGGTTGGAAAGGCCGCCTTGGCGCCTTTTTGCATGACCTCGAGTCTGGCAAATTCGACCCAGACCTGCGTGAATCCGAAGCTGCACCAACGTCGCCTGGGAAGGAGAATGGCAATGTCGACACTGTTGCTGATGGGAATGTGTTGACGGACGACACTAAGATTGGTCTGGGCGACGATGACATGCAGTTTAATCCAGAGCCAGAGGACGATGCTGGTGATCAGGATGGGGGACGACCAGAGACGAATGGAAAGTCAGTTGGCTTCAATAAACAGAACAACCGCGGAGAGGAAATTTCGGTTCCACCAGAAGGAAATCAGGTGATGATTCGCACCATCCCCCCTGATATCGGTCGCGTGAAGTTGGAAGAGGTACAGTTTGGTGGCTTATTTCTCGCCCGCATGGTCTGACGTACCTTTCGTTGCAAGGCCTGCTCTAAAATTCCTGGATATATCTATATTGCTCTCGGAGATCCTTTGCAAAAACGCAACTATTATCGTGCGGGCTGGCTTAGATTCAAAGACGATGCGGATATGTCCGCTGTTATATCTGAGCTGTCTGAGAAAAAGGTACAGCTCTTTGTTTTCACTCTTTGAAACCCTGGCATAAAACAATCCCCCTAGATTGAAGGTTTTAAGTTGCACGTAACACATAATACTCGACCATTCGTAAACAAAATTCGGTTTACACCAGAACTTGCCAGCCGGCCTGATAGGCTGTCCAAGGATTTGGACAATGCCAAACTACTTGCTGCAGTCCTAGAGGAACAGGCGGCTAGACTCCGACATTGGAAACCTTCGACCTCGTCAGCCGCAACAGACGCGACAAATGGTGACGCAGAACGTGTCAAGGATGAAACTAACGGGGACGCTTCGATGGCTGAACCCGAAGAGGTGGAGGAGGAACCGAAAGAGCGTGGAAGTGAGGCTGTGGAGAGGCGGATTGAAAAAATCATGGCGGAGATGAAGGATCAGGGTCTTGTGGATACGATGGATGATAAGGTTTATGAAGCCAAAAAGGTTCTTTCCATCTGCTTGAGCCTCACCTTTTTGCTCATCAATTCATTCAGGTCGTTATATCTCTTGACATGTACCTCGCATATCTGCGGGCTGCATTTCACACATGCTATTATTGTGCAGTTGTCACCGATCATCTTGAAGAACTACAGCGTAAGTGTATCAAGCACCAAAGGAAGCTGTTGTCGAAGTTGCTCCTTGACGAGATCAAATCTGCTGAGGCTGAGAAGGAAAAGAAAGCCAAAGAAGAGGACAGCGAAACACCCGTTGACGGGGATGATAAGGCAAAGGTCAAGGAGAAAGAGAAAGAGTCTAAGAAGCACGATAATAGGGACTGGAAACGCAATGGTATGCTGGCCCCTTCCCTCTCTTTCTGCGCCACGTTCACGCTCTTTGACAGACGAAAGATGGCTTGAATGGCTGGACTCTAAGATTGCACTTCTTACCGATCGCGAAGGCGTCGATCCTCGTGAATACGGTGGCAAGAGCTATGAAGAGTAAGCTTCTCGATTCCCAAGCATATTCATTCCTCACGTCTAGTTAGCGAGCTGAGCAAGATTGTGGAACCATACATTAAACAAGAAGATGAGGGTAAATTCAGGTGTAAGACATGTCAGAAGCTATTCAAGGCGACATCATTCGTCGAGAAACATATCGCAAACAAGCATCCCGAGCTGGTCAAGCCACTGGACGAGGCGAGTAACTAGAAATCTGTCTGTCTGCAAGTGGGCTTATGATTGCGTAACCTCAACAGGTCCCCTACTTCAATAATTTTGCCTTAGATCCTCATCGAATCCAACCTTTTGCCCACCCACCTGCTTCCATTGGCAACAGTAGCCAAGCTCCTCCTCAGGCTTATGGATTGCAAGGTCCTGTCTCTTATCACGGCGCCGATTATGGACGTGGCGGCCCTTACTACGGAGGTAACTCCTATCCTCCTGCTGGTTATCCTCCACCTCCCTACCACAACAGCTGGGATACCCATCCTGGAGGTGGCTACCCAGGATCCTACCTCTCTTCGGCCTCCTCGCGACGAGATGAAGGTTCAGGCAGGAGGTTGAGCGACCGCATCAGCGGTTTTGCGCCGAACGAGGGTTCTGTGATTCCCCCTGGCGCAGGCCTACCACCTAAACCTACACCCGCAGCACTAGATACAGCCCTTGCAGCTGGGAACCCTTCGTTGACAAGGAGGAATAATCGCAACGGAACCAGTCAGCCTACTGGCCCGCCTCCCCCACCGCCTCCAGACGCCAAGGAAGACCCACGGGCCGCTGCTGGCAAGAGGGTTAGCTACCACGACATGGATCTGGTAGCAGAGGTTCGTGTTTAGACTATTCCTCATCGAGCGCATGCTGACAGCAATATCCTGCAGGGCGATGTTGAACTGATGTATTAATGTCCAATGTCGATTCTTTTTTCTTCCATGTGCAATAGTACATACACACAATATATATGATATATGAATGCCCGATTTTGTTTGCGATACAGTAAATGAATCGCTGAGATTTGAGCTTCGAATTCCCAAATACTCAGGTGTTTGTTCTCGTTTGAAATTCAGCAGCTCGTTGCCAATAACGTCTGGCGAACGTCTTCCATTCTCCAACCCCCCGTCCCGCTGGGGCTGGACACGGCTGGTATCAGTCTCTCTTACCATATTCCACGAAAACCACTGCAGGACGTCAACGCCACGATAGAGCTCAACAACTAACTGCGGCCGCAAATCGAGCGGCAATGAACGCCCCCAAGCTCCCCACGTTGCGCTTAACCGCCGAAGGCGAGTGTGTCATTCAAGAAAGCATTAGTTTGGATCTACCACCAAGCAACAAGTTCAGCGTATCGTATATTCCCTCCGACGGCCGCCCAAAGCCGTCGATAGCCCGTACTCCACCTCAGCAGGAAGGGGAAGCGCTCAATTCGTCCGACGGCGAACGACTTACCTCTGACGCAGATTCCGGTGATGACGCAGACGCCTCCTTACAGCAAGCAGCTCCCAGAGCCCTGCCGTCGGATCCTCCAATTTCGCTCATAAGTTCGATCCCAGAGAAACCAAGAACACATATGTCCAGAATTCACTCCATGCCACTTCCATCCCAATTGCAGAATCCGCATAGACCTGGGACGGCGACGTTCCATTCGTCACCTCATGTTCTATTCACCCACTCGTCGCAGGTTCGCGAGGTTTCCGTTGAGCTGGCGGATTCGATTCAAATGGTCATTCAGACCATGCTGCAGATATCGCCTCCTCAGGTGCTCGACCCCGCGAAGGAACAGTTTTCAGCCTGCACGCTCTCTGTTCCTACCTCATCCATGTCTGCCATGTTCACCACCATGAAGAATATCAACTACATTTCTGCGAATATGTCGTCATTCTGCGAGCAAAATACAACCCATGCTCACGACGATTCTGCAGCCTCCGACACCTCAGTCAAGAAGGCTCCTCATAACGAGTTTGATGTGGGAGAGCTGTTGCAGTGCGTAGGGGACGCCCTGAGTGGGGCTGCGGCGCAGGCTGGCGTGGACTTGGTTCTATATCATGGAGATGTCGGACTAAAGCATGCCTACGTCTCTGGAGACGAGAGCGGCATCTCATTTGCCCTATCCCATGTGCGTACGCGCCAACCTTTTCCATTGCACTCATCCTTAGCCTTGATCCAGATTGTTCGCCAAGTACTAAACACTGCGGAACGCGGCGATTCCATCGAGCTTGGTTTGCTCGTCCACCCAATGTCAGTGGCGAAGATACCACAAGATGAAACAGCAGGCACAGAGTCGCCCCCAGTCGATGATATGCTTAACTCTTCTTCTCCTCTGGAGTTCGATGGTCCTGTGAAAATCACCATCTGTATATCGCACAAATATGCTCCATCAGACATACAGTCACCTGGGGACCACCCAAGGGATTCGACCAATGAAACTCGCGCGAAGCCGACTTTTTCAACTCTTCTCCTACGACGAATCCTTCTCCAGATTAATGGAAATCTCGTCCCAGATCTGCCGCCCCCGGCAGTCTTCGCGAGTGGTCGTACCTGTCACCTTGAAATGGTCCTGGACCGTGTACCTCTCCCACCACCGGGCCTTCAGGACGAGGAAACTAACAAGCAGCCAACCCTCGAGCAGCTTTCTTCGTTTGGAGATTCTCTCAAGGGTAAAAAAGTGACCTTATACGCCAGCGCAAAGGGATCGTTTGCCCATCATCTCACGAGCTATCTAACCACCTGGGGAATGGATGTCACCCACGTGTCTCCAGACGGTCAAGTGGATGGCCTCCCTGAACAGAGTTCACTCCGGCAGGGAGATAATCGACCGCCGTCATTTAGTCCGCTACTAACGACATACCCAGAAGGCAGCACCTCTGCCAATGCATCCGCTAAACCTGACGTAAAACAATCAGTCTGCGAACCTCCTTCCTTCGTTATCATTGACGATGATGTTGATTTATTGAAAGAGCGGTTGCAGGTCTTTAGATCTGAATATCAGCCCCAACCGTCACCGATGCTGGGGAGAAAGCGACCTTCGTTATCCTCAAATCACCGCCCTCGATCTTCTCCGCAGATAGCTCGCCTGCTGAATTTCAGCATTGCAACCAGGTGCTTGACTCAAGTTGTACTTCTGCACTTTACAAGTCTCGCAAATTATAAGCGTGTCAAGGATGTGATGCAATCCATCACTATTGCATACGCCAACACAGCAACGCCATTGCCCGAAATCTTGATCATCCCAAAGCCAGCTGGCCCACGGCGCTTTTTAACTTCCCTGCACACCGCAATCACGAAGCCTACAATAGACCCCTTTTTCATACCTATCGCAACCTCCCCAATGAGCCCCGGAATGGCCCAAATGGCCGGATCTTTCTTCACCTCACCCATCAGCGAAACCGGCAACCACCCCAACAATGTTGGCAATTTCAATACTGGCTGTTCTCAAAACCCGTCGCCTTCTCTCAAGAATGCCAATCGACCCCATGGATCTCGCACGAACTCGGATCGGTCGACACGATCGGTCGATGGTGGCACTAGCTTGCCTTCTGCAGTACCTCCTTCTCCACTCGCCTTTCCGGACAATGTGGAGTATTTCTCCTCAGCTGCACAAAAATTAGGCAGCTCGCCGTCTTCTGGACTTGTCATTCAAAGCCCAGACGGGCAGACTGCTGGGATATACTTCCATCCGAAAAGCAAGAACCCGTCGAGGAATCCTTCAAGTCACTCGATGGAGAGAGATCGGGGGCAACTCACCGTTCCGTCTCCACGAAGGGGCTCGACACCACGGGTACCGTCGGGCGGGAAGGTGGATCTTGTCGCATTTTCTTCTTTACATGATGGACCCAAGGGCAAGGCGGGTGTAGAAGCTAAAAATTCACCATCGTCTGGTCCTATATCTCCCGCCCAAAAAACGTCCGTTGGCAGCCCCAAAGATGATCAAATTCAACCAGCATCGTCCCCGTCCAACATTCCGTCCCCTGTACCTCGCAGGGCTAGTGATGACGCACGCAAACTCGCCTCTTCATCTCCTGGGCAGGGCACGCCTACGCCAAATCGACGTCGGCTCAGCAAGAGACAGAGCAATGAGACTGCACCACTCATGTTGCAGGATCCGAAGAGAAAAATCTCTGCCCCATCGGATGCCAATGTCGTGCCACCTATCAGCGTCCTCATTGTCGATGGTATGCGACACGTGTAGGATTTACCATGCGCTTGCTTTACTGAAAATTCGGTACAGATAACCCCATTAATCAGACTATCCTTTCGACATTTATGAAGCGAAAACGTATTAAGTATGATTTGGCAAGTAACGGTCGGGAAGCCGTGCAAAAATGGCGGACAGGAGGCTTTCACCTGATTTTGGTGCGTCTGACGAATACTGATTTCGTATTACCGTACATTTATCGACCCACTTATTAGATGGATATCCAGATGCCTATAATGGATGGTATTCAAGCCACGAAAGAGATTCGGCGACTCGAGAAATCTAACGCAGCGGACGGTTATCCATCTATGTCAGAGGAAGGAAGTACACCGTCAGAGCGGTCTGCTTCAAGCTCCTCTCTCAGCACCTCAGAATCACGTTCTCTCAACTCGCCATACCGTTCTTCTGTCATCATTGTGGCTTTGACGGCGTCGTCACTGCAAAGCGACCGTGTAGCGGCGCTCGCTGCAGGATGCAATGACTTCTTAACAAAACCGGTGTCTTTGTTGTGGCTCAATAACAAGATCATCGAGTGGGGCTCAATTAAAGCTCTACAGATGTGGGCCGATATCAGGCCAGAGGCTGTCAGATCGCTCGCTAGCGGGCAAGCAGCACAAGCACGGAGTGTGGCCGAAAGGCTGCATGTACCGAAACGGCTAAGCCCATCGCCCACACGTCGTTCGACGAGTGCGATGGAAGACAACGCAGCCGCACTTGCGCTGGCCTCTTCAGCAGGCTCGATTCCGCCTCTACCTTCTCCTACCTCGGCTATTTTCAAAGCTACAGACCGGTCGCAGGGAACATCACTTGAGACATCGAGCGCAGCTGGTCCCTCGTCGAATGCGAAGATGGTGGGTACTGCGCTGGACACAAAAGTGTCGCAAACGCCCGCTGAATCTCCTGATGGTTTGTCAATCCCCCCTCATCTTTGGCTCTCGCTCGCTAATGATATATACTCTTCTGCAGATGGTACGATGGCTTGAAACATTACGCAAAGTATTGACATTTGACTCTTCACTACCACAGATACGCCTCAAGTCAGGACACCACTGGCGAATCATTATACACGGGTGGATAGCACTGGCACTTCCTCGATCAAGTCACGGACTATGACACCTGTCCAGCGACGAAGTATAGAACAGCCTGCCATATCTCTGCCCATGTCGCTTCCATTACCCTCGTCTCCCAACCCTGATTCCGTTGACACACGCGAAAACGGATGCTTGGTTAGCCACCGAGAACAATCAAAGCACTCTCCCTCCCGCACATCACCCACCCACAGTCCTCTGCGGACTCCTACACCTATTCGGACTTCCGTCTATCCCTCCCCATGACGATTATGGGCAACTCTGGGGATAGTTGGGCTTCTGCTCGGAGCCCTTGGGCCTTCGTTCCCCCGAGTTGCTGCGATATTTGGGATCGTGTTTATGGTTTACCTTTACTTATCCGCTCCCCCATCACTTTCATTCCGTGACTACTGATACTGATGACATTCAACGACTATCATGGTCCCACACTTTCCTTCCGTTGCATTACTACCGTTGCGTTTTCAACTTGGACTATCCACGCGCATTCCTTAATTCCCTTTCGTTCAGTAAATTGGCATTCAATGTGTTCTCATTCGGGTTGACAGTCCTTCTACTGGATTGATTGACTGACTGATAGGAATCGTTCTGGTTGCATATTTCTTGCATGTGTGTCTGTAGGCCACTCTGGTTGATAGGTATATATAGAATACTCAGGTACCGGATTCATGATGTCATTACGAACATTCACGTCACTTTCACCTTAAGCTAGAAATGTCCCATGTTGAGTTCCTGAAGAGTTCACGCAGCCTCACTGAAAAAAAAATTCAATCGCCGAAAATCACTGCAACGTCATCACGGTTGAGGAAACAGTCCAACGCTATTTGAATTTACGCCATCTGATTCATTTCTCGATTACTTTCAATTTTCGCAAATTTCTGGCTAGAACCCCTTCAGAATGTCGCCGCGAATCTTACGAGCGAGGTACATATCCTTCGGCATGATCGTAACACGCTTGGCATGCAAAGTCGCTAGATTAGTGTGTTCGAATAATCCGACGAGGTACGCCTCAGCCGCCTCTTGGAGGGCCAAGACAGCTGCTCCCTTGAATCGGAGCTCTGTCTGAAAGGGAAGAAGGATAAACCGTATGTGGATGGAATGTCAAGCAATGCATCACACCTTATAATCCTGGGCAATCTCACGGACGAGCCTTTGGAATGGTAACTTGCGAATGAGGAGTTCCGTGGACTTCTGGTAGCGCCTTATTTCACGAAGCGCAACGGTTCCAGGTCGGAACCGGTGTGGCCTCTTGACCTGCGACGCCTGCTTCCGCGCCTGTCGATATCAATGTTTCCCATCAGTAATATTCCAAAAGCGGCAACGAGCCCACGGTGTGTGGCGCACGTCGTGGAGGGGGACACGTCGCGCAGTCAGGGCTGGAGGGTTTACGGACCACTTACCCCGGAAATTGTCTTTCGATAGGCCATCTGACCATCCTTGAACTTCGTCTCTAGCCCGAAATAAGGCTTCTTGATCGTCTTCTTTGCGTATTGCTTCACATCTGAAACATTGAGGTCTTTTCCACCTTGTCATCGTTGAGCAAGCGTCAATTGGAAAGATGAAAGGTAAATACCAGTTGATTTACGCGCGCTTCTTTTGGTCCGAGCCATATGTAAATTCGTATTTTCTTTGGAATTTTTGAGCCTAGGTTGTTGGAGATCTTTGGTGGGACGAACGTGATGGGGTACCTCCTATTTATCGTCCTTCCTAATGACAGGTGTTTATCATGAGATGGTTGTCATGAAGGGCTGGAGAGCTTATTCGCTGGTACCGTCTTCTGAATACAATTGACCCTGATGATTCTGATCCCGCTATGACATCAACCTGTAAAACTCGAGTTCTAATGTTCAATCAGAGTCGCCTTCTCCTCGAGTGCGGCAAGGCACTCTTCTTTACAACAGAAATATCCGCCCGATAAATCCAAGACGATGTTGTGTGCTCCCCCTGGAAGGTTGCTATGTTTAACTTCTCTAAGTGGCCCGGATCCACTCAAAACAAAGTTATTTGACATGACGTATTGGTAAACACCCGCGAAAAATAGAAGCGTGATTTGCACCAGTACCCGTTTGAATATTTTCGTTCCACAGGGATGAGCTGAGCAACGTTGAAGACCAACGCTGAACCTTTGTACTCTTGCAATGAATTTCTTCGGCAAGCATCAAGATGGAACCTCTGGTTAAGAGTCCTGAGTTCCGAAATGGAAATGGTTATGTCAAATGCGCCCAGGGCGGCGATGAAGCACGGAACTTGGTTCGTCCAAGGTTCTCGTGAATCATGCAGTCCGACTATTAGCTTAGGAAGCTTCGCTACAGAACATGCTCTTTACGCCGCTTACGGGGCTTACGTCCTTATATCTCTGAAGCCCGCTTGCCATCATGAAACCCTGGCAATTGCCTATCCCTCACTCTTTCCGTATTTTCAGTCCTCTTTGAAATGTGGATGGAAGGTCCCACGCTCTGAGTCAAGTTCGTCTCAAAGGCTCCTTTCTATTCTACCAGCATCTCTTCGAGCACAGTCTTATCCCCATCATGCAATCATCAGCAGCACACCAAATTCCTCCTGAGATTCTCGAGCAATTTATTGATCGACTTGGACAAGAGATCCATCGTGTCGATAATTGCCATGCACTGCAAGCCTGTTCTTTGGTCTGCCACGCTTTTCGCAGTCGGTCACAACATCATCTATTCCGCGACTTGTTCTTTGTTCAACCGCCTTGCACACCCTCAACCGAAATCCTTTCGAAAATTTGGCAGTTCCGCGACCTCGTCAAATCGGGGGAAGGATTTACCGGTACCATGCCCAGCGTGCTCTATCATGTCCGGTCGTTTGGGTTGCTGATGAACGGGTCCACTATGTTCGAGACGTATGCAATCCTTGGCAACGATTGCCTGGTGGATATTTTGAGGTCGCTTCACGCTCGGAGCTATGGGATTCTCGGTCTAGCTCTTTGTATTCAAGGGCCTTCAATTCCCATCAATCTCCTTGATTTGGCGACCAACTTCCGCTCCGCTTTCCAAAACCTCCTTCACTCTCCATTCTTAACGACACTTTGCCTTCAAAACATATTTGGCGTACCGGATACGCTGATACGCTGGACGTCGCTCAAGCACCTCCATTTCCATTTCGTCGAACTCGTCAGATACCGCGTGGATTACGACCCCCTCTGGATCCTGCCTCCCAATGCGCAGATCGAATCCTTGGATATCGATTTCACCTTTCCATTTCCACCCCGAGAAGTGCTTGAAACTGGCGGCATAGTTCAAGACGACATGGAGGCGGTCTCTCACTTTTGCAACTCCTTCTCTGGTGTCACAGATCTGAAATATTCCATCTACCATTCGAGTGACTTCAGGCTATTTTGTGATGTAGTTTTGGGCCTCTCTTCCTCTCTCACCACGATCGAGTTAGAGCTCTCTGATACCGGACGTGTGCTCAATAGGCACATTCCCTGGCCGTTGCCCTTCCATCGCCTTCCTCTTTTGCGCTCGCTGACGATCCGCCTGCGCAGTCTCATCAGCATTGAAACATGTGGTCTCCTGCGACACCTTTCCACGATACTCAAAGATTGTAGTATCCCCCCTTCTCTCCAGACGATAGATTTTGCCCTCGAGCTTCGTTCACAGGCGCAATGGCTCAAGCTATGCGATTTCTTTCCTCAGCCGTCACTATGGGCCGTGCTAGACAATATTCTTGCCACACATCCTCAATTTGCGGCAATCCAGAGCGTTTATTTTAACCTTCAATATAGAACCTTAAATGAGGAGCCTTGGGCTTTCGATGAGGGAGTCTTCGTCGCTAGATGTGCTACGCTTGTGAAGGAGCTCTTCCCGTTGCTCGCGGACTCGAAGACTAAACTTGGAGCGATAGTCTCAGTACTTTCCTTACCGAGAGATATTTAGATAGAAATATTTAATCAACATGTGCGTTTCGGACTTCGTTGCTACCAAATTAGCGCGCGTTTAGCGCCGTATCAGTGACATCATATCTGCATAGCTTTCACGGCACGTGGTCAAGGATCCCTGACTCAAAAATAAAAGTAGAACCTTCCACCCTATGACCCTTATGCTGCTTCACAGTCTTACACAGCCCTGAACACGATGCCTCCGCGTAGTTGCTCTCTATGTCAAAAGGCGAAAGCCATGGTGAAACGACCGAAAACCGGACAACAGATTTGCCGGGATTGTTTTTTCTACGTCTTCGAAACTGAGGTTCACAACACGATAATGCAGTCTGAACTTTTTGATCCTGGGGACAGGGTTGCAATAGGTGCATCCGGAGGGAAAGGTGCGAGTTCTCGAAGGCTTTCCAGGGTTTTACTCAGAATCCCAACGGGCAGATTCCACTGTGCTGGCATATGTTATGAAGACACTTAATGAGCGCTATCAGTACGGATTAGAGCTCTTCCTCCTTTCCATAGACGAGGGAATTACCGGGTATAGAGATGATTCTCTCGAGGTCAGTCAATCTTAGCATCATATCAGGTTGGATAACGTTGTCTGACAGCTGGAGTTTTAGACCGTCAAACGGAATCAGCAGCAGTATGACATGCCTCTGAAGATCCTTTCGTACGACGAACTGTACGGCTGGACGATGGACGCTATTGTTTCTCAGGTTGGCCGAAAGAACAATTGCACATTTTGCGGTGTCTTCCGAAGACAAGCTCTCGACCGTGGGGCAGCAATGTTGAATGTGGATCATATCGTCACTGGGCATAACGCAGATGACATCGCAGAGACCGTCTTGATGAACAGTAAGCGTATTTATTCCTACCGCCTATATTTAATATGGCGAACAAATTTCTTATGAAAATTATCGTATTGCAGTCATGCGCGGTGATATCGCGAGGCTCGGACGATGCACTGCTATATGCACTCAAGGAGAAGACACTGTTCGCCGATCAAAGCCTTTCAAGTATGCCTATGAGAAGGAGATAGTGATGTACGCCATCAGTTTCCTCTACTCTACGCGCCCCACATGACCCAACACTTGAGACAACCTGCCTCCTCTCAACAACAGGTATGCATACTTCAAAAAGCTGGATTACTTTTCCACCGAATGCATCTATTCGCCCGATGCTTATCGTGGACACGCGCGCGCGTTCCTCAAGGACCTTGAAGCTGCCAGACCTAGTGCCATAATCGACATCATACATTCAGGCGAGGCATTTGAAGTGAAAAAGGAGGTAAAAGCAACGCAGAAAGTTCAGCGCAAGTATCCGCCAGGGGCTAGCGAGTCGTGAAGCTAATGATTCGTTTCCACTAGAAACATGTCAACGTTGCGGTTACATGTCTAGCAACGCATTGTGCAAGGCCTGCACGTTGCTGGAAGGCCTCGAGCGAGGGATGGCAGATTCAGGTACCGTGAGTCATTTCCGCTCAATAAAGGACTACGGGAGACCTCCGTGCTAAATGCATGGTTCATTTCATTTACAGACAGACAGGGGGCGGAAAAGGCTGGATGAAGCAGGCCCTGCCCCAGAGAACATCCGGACAATACCATACTTCAAATTACCTTCAGGCAGTCCAGCTATTGCAGTCGAAACACCTTCATGAGCATGGCAAGCCATTTGACTGTGAACACATAGGAATAGGCATATTTTTTGAGCCAATCTCCCTAGAACACAAGACTAGCGTGATTTAATACAACAGTGGTCATTATGAAGAGGGAAAGATGTCACGAGTAGAGTGAGTAGAGTCAAAGAAATTCTCCTTAAAATCCGATTGTTTTTAGAAAAAAAAAAGATGCAAGTATTCGTCCGCAGAGGTGTTGTTCCGTAAATACAAAAAGCAATGGTTTGGCAAATATATACTTACAATTTTTGGCGGTTGTAATTTTCCATCCTATTGGGTTTTGGTATATCTAATGGAGTTAGTATGATAATACTTATACAGTAACAGTAAGGGATACATGAGTCTGTGCCAATGAAGGAGTAAAGATGGATGGCTATGTTGTGGAAAGATTCTCTAAAGGTACTGTAAGTGGAACTTATCCTGCAATTTTCACAACGACTGTGCCACCATCTCCGAGAGGACCGTTGTCCACGAAGACATATGGTGCCTTCTCGAAAGGCACAACTCGTGGTCTGCCCATCATACCTCTTCCGGGCTCGACCTCAACGAACGGTCTGATTCCATCTTCGAGAGCAAGACGGAGTACAGTTCCCAGAGTCTCACCCACGTCACTTCCTTCCCAGTCGACGTCCTGGACTACACTGACCCAAGCATAGCCAACCCTGCCAGAACTGGGGCCTTTCAAGTCGCCAGCACTGACTTGCTCAGCCATCCTGGCATGAGAATCATTAGGGCTGTCGGTTGAACCAATCCTAAGGGAGCGCAAACCGGCGCGGAAGTTGTCACCAGCGCTGGGAATGGCTCTTTCTGGCACGTCTCCGACGAGCGTCGTGAACTGGCCGACCCCATGGCGATTCAAGCTTGAGATAGATACTTTCGCAGGAGACGTTGTCCGGCCTTTACCAGGGGTTAACGACGTTTGCTTCCCCTGCGACCTCAATAGCCTTTCCCCGGCCTCTCGCACCTCCTTGCCGCCAATCGTGTCCAGAATAGCGTCAAAGACATCACCGTCTTCCCAAAGCGTATTAATGACCCGAACTGCCGCCATACGTCCATCATCGACCCCTCCACCCTCTTCTCCATCATCGAATATCACTTCATCTGCTCCCCATAGCCGTGCACGCTCTTCGACAGTCCTCATGAACTCGTCACCCGCTGCTTGCGACGCATTCGCAGGGACTGATGAGAATGGCACATGTACAGACACCCGCCATCCACGCTGGACGAGCATTTGCACTGCCATTGCTCCGACGCCATCGTGGCCTCGTAATACTAGCACACGTCGTCGATGGCCACAGTCATGGTCAGTCATCACCTTGTGGCTGAAAGCACTGACAGTCATGGAGTAATCTGGCCCAATACTGCTCGCCGTGTCGAAATCAGCGATCCTTCGGTCGACTGTAGCAGGAGTCCCGCGTTCATCTCTTATCGAGCTAAAAGCGGACATAAAAGTGCGGACAGCTCTGTAGGCCGATAAGCCGCACAAGGGCAGCAAAGCGAGTTCCTCGAGAGTTAACGTTGCTGGATTGCGGATGCCTTGGGTCGAAGTGGGCGATGCAAGCCATACCGGACTTGCTGGGGCGTTGGAATCCAGGGTTGGGCTGCTTTTCCGGGGATGTGGAACGCGATGCAAGCGATGCCGATCGACAACGATGAATTCAGCTAGTGCGCCACACTGATTAAAAGATGTTTCGAGTCAGCAGGAAGTTGCAAATGATCAAGGTGTAAGCAAATTGGAAAAAACAGCCAGCCCAAATGAAAAGCGAGACGAAACTCGTGAACAAAAATAAAGAAGCACATACCTTTCGCACGTCCAACAGCCCAACGACCCATTCTCCCTTCCTAATTACCTCGTCTCGGACATCCCATCCACACTCCAACACTCTACCAACAAAACTTCGCCCAGGAATATACCCAACATTCGCTCGTGTTTGTTTCGGCGCCTTCTGCCTCCTCTGCGATGGGGAATGGGATAGCGAATTAGACGCCGTCGTGGCAGAGGATGCTGTGGTGTTATTCCTTTTCAAAAAGGACGCAGTCCTCTCACGCGACTGTTCCCGCTGGCTTTGGTTCTGTCGGGGCGGCGAAGGTTTGTGAGAAGCAGACGACGAACGTTGTCGGTCATTCTGCTTGGGACTCCCATGACGCGATAAACTCAGGCTCAAGGAACGTCCAAGAGCAGCGAAAGGGTTTTTCTTTGTTGACGCCCTTTCTGGTTCCGACTCTTGCGCCTTGTCTCTCTCGAATGCTTCCTTCCCTTGGTCCTCACACTCCTCTTCATCGTAATCTACCCTGACTCCATCTGCTCCGAACCTCACTCCTACAAGCCGTCCATCAACGCCATCCACAGCAACGGCCCATACCTGGATCAGAACACCGCGACTAGGCACATAATTTGGCGGAGAGCGATATGAGGTAAAACCGAGTATCGTCCCCTCTACTTCAGAAGCAGGCTGAGGCACGTCTTGGCGAGTATCATCTACACTTCCCCTTCTCGCGCTAGCGCTGGCGCCCACTTTCGCAGGAAATCCGCCAGAGACAGCCCTCCTTCTCCCAAACGTGCTGAGCACGTTCCTAATACCCGACCCGTTCCTCGAGAGACCTAAGCCTCTAACGACCTCCACAGTTGCCATCGTCGTTTGCGCAATACCGCTTCTCGTTAGATCTATCTTGCCATCCGCACTCGATCCGATCGCGCCAACGTTAGCAACACTGAACCAACTGTCATGCTTCGATAGACCAGCAGCTGTGGTTGGTGCGGGTGCACGAGGAAGAACCAAAGAGGTGTAGCCCTGAGTACCCTTGCTCGGTATCTCGCCAGGCGTGGCGAGGGTCAAAGCCTGCACTTCAGCCGTCAGGGTATGCGTTGTCCTGGATCTGTTTCGAGGGGTACTTCCAGAGCTAGTGGAGGACGACTCAAGAGATCGCGATCGTCGTCTTCGCAAATCAGGGGAGGTATGACGCAGCGACCTTGAACGATTGGGGGCGGAGCTCTGCGACGCTCGAGATTGATCATTGGAGTGTGTTGCTTCCGCCGAGTCAGATTCTAGGTTTCGCGAAACATCCATGCGAGGAGTGAACGGGCCTTCCTCGTCCTCCTCTAGGAGTGCCGTCATGCTCATCATCATGCTTGTTGGGGCAACTTTAGATGGGTTTCCATTCTTTCGTTGACTGCTGCTGTGGGTATAGGCATAGGTATTTGTATACGAGTTGGCTGACGCTTGAATATAGGTTGCGGTCGAAGAAGACGGAAATGAAGAACCGACAGGAGCAAATGCAGAGAAGGTATGCGGCGTCTTTCGGGGAGTTCTGTTCACTGAAAGAGAGGTGTTTGGTACATGAGGCAAAGAGGTTCTCGATAACGGCTCGCTCTCCTTCCCTTTCGCAGATCCATTTGCGGTTGATCCGCCAGCAGCCCCTACCTGCGCTCCGCTTGCACGACCAGAATAAGTAAGGCCCTGCAAAGTGGATGCAGCAACCTTTCTCCCTTGTCCGGGTTGCTGTACGATCCCGGAGGGCGGCGTCAAGACCTTTCCGTTCACTTGAGTAGTAGTGCCAGATTTAGACTTTCTAGACGTCGGGACCTTGGAGGAATCCGGTATAGGTGACTTTCTATTCGGGGGTGACGTTCCAGGAGGGATATCCAACCTGACATCCCTGACAGAATCCTCTGCGTTTCTCCGCTTGACACCTGCAGACGTAGACGACTGCCTCGTGGTACTGGAGGACGCTGCAGCAGCAGGTCTGGTCGTCGCAATTGTTCCCAATCTTGCCTTTGTGTTCGAGGATGTCATTTCGCCGGAGTCGCTCTGGTAAGGTGTGGTTAATAAAGTGGATTCAGTAGAGCCGGGGTCGAGGAAATCTGAAAAGAGGGAGTGACCATCGAGACTGGTAGACGAGATGCTGGATGTCGCTGAAAGGGCATGTATAGCCCTCGTGCTGTTTGCGGTTGAATTGGAGGGTGTCCGTGTCGAGGGGACGGCTGTAAATGGACTCTGAGAAGGAGACGGTCGAGATTGCACTGAAGTAGTACTATTGGTTTTCGGAGTGGGTTTGGACGCCTGCAGAGAAGATGGAGGGAGCTGATGCGCTGATGACGATGATGGTCCAGCAGTGGGTAGATGTTCGGCGGCATCGTTGCGAAGAGATCTCCGACTGGGTTTTCTCCCTGAAGGAAATGTAATGGTGGCGACTGAGGAGGCCATCGAGGTGCGCGGAGACGTGTTCGGAGTGAAGAACACCTCGAGGTCTGAATCGCCTGCGTTATCGTCTTCCTCCCAGCTGGGATTGGGTCTTATGATCGGGACAGGCTTCACGGGGTGCTGAGCCCGAGTTGGAGGCTCCAACGAAAGCTTCGAAGGTCCGGGAGTCATATGGCCGTTAACTGGTTGTGAATTAGTTGTCGAGGGGACGACCGTGCTTTGAGGAGGGGCCTTAGGGTTCGCTCCATCTAGGTGCTGTAGAGAGAAGTAAGTGCAATGCTACATCCAGTAGAAAATAATAGGGTGGGTAAGAGAAGCTAATAAAAAACCCCCGACCGACTGGTAGATTTGCCTTCACGGAGTAGAGAATGAAAGAAGTGATTTACATACAGAGCCAGTCTGGACACGGGGTGTCGTCGTAGCTTGGCTTCCCATTGCTTTCGCGCTCGGTCCCGTCATTATTGCAGGCCGAACACCCGCATCCTGTGCTATGCGCAACATTTCCCGTCTCGTAGAGTAGTACTCCTTCTTCGACTGGATAGGTGTCGAATAAGTTTGGGAGGGTCTGTTCAGCAGGCTCTGAACCAGCGTTGGCTTCGACATCTACGACAGTCGTGTCGCCGTAGAGCTATTGTAGGGCCGAGGTCAGACTGGAGAGAAGGATAAGTTGGACGTTGCACAACACGATGTTCACACACATCCCCGATGCCAAGCAAAGCGGAGGTAACTCAAAAAGGAACTTCAATGACGTCTTCACTCCAAGTCCGATCCTGACAAAACCGTGACCAGACACCCCAAGGAACTAGAGATATAGAAGGACTGGATGCGTGCACTGGACATTGAGCTATGAGGCACATATTGGCAGTCTCCAGTTCCGTTACTACTGTCCCATTTCGACCAAGTGTTCACAGATTCTGAATTTTTGGCTCGCCGAGGAAGCCGATAAATTTTCTTTTGATTTAAGGCAAATTTTAAAAGCCTCCTTTTTTTCTGCTGTGATGCGTGACGTGAACACTTGGTCGAAATAGGACAGTATTCGAAACCCAGATGGCACGGCAAACCTTTTAGGGCAACACTTCAAGCTTGACGATGGCATCAACTTCAATCAAGTTTCAACCATGTATGTGAGTATATGGAGGCAATTATTCTGTCCCTAGGCAGCCGGTACTAGTTCCAACCTCCGGGATTTGGAGGAGAACAGCGCAGAGGCGTGAGAAGCAATCCGAAGGACCCCATTTTGGCGCAATTAGATTAGATGCGTGCTCTTTCCTTGCAACCATGGTTCAACCCATCAACACTTGCATCCTCGGTGTTGGCCTCTCTGGCCTCACCTTCCATGTGCCCTTTATTCTTGCGCTACCCGAAATATTTAACCTCCACTCCGTTCTCGAACGCAATCCCAAGGCGGAAGGAGGAAAGGTAAAGGAACGCTTCGGCGTTGCTCCGAAAATCCACAAGACCCTCGATGCTGTCCTTAGCGACCAGGAAATCGAGCTCGTTATCATCGGTACTCCCAATGACACTCACTACAAGTTCGCGAAGGCAGTTTTGAACGCGGGCAAGCACGGTGGTTGTCCTTTATTATGGCCATGATCGAGATTATGTTCTGATTTACCTCGTATTAGTTCTGGTGGATAAACCTGTCACTGCTACTTCACAGCAGGCGAAGGAACTCAATGATCTGGCCAAATTCAAAGGTCTCGTTCTGTACGCCTTCCAAAACCGACGTTGGGATTCGGATTTCCTCGCTCTAAAGTGTCTGCTTTCCGAACCTGAGACATCTCCAAATTCACTCGGCACCATTACCGAACTTGAATCCCAGTACGTTGTATTAGCTACTAGAGGAGAACCGTTTCCTGATAGATATGCAGCTATGACCGATTCCGCAAAGGTCTAAAGGGAACCTGGAAGGACGAACCTCTGCCCGCGGCAGGAATCACTTATGACCTTGGATCGCATCTTATCGACCAGACATTGTGCTTGTTCGGTCGACCAACTCGTTTGACAGCTTTCATCCAGAATTTGCGAGGAGTTGGAAATCCAAATGTAGACGATTGCGTGAGTGAAAAAGAAATTTATCCGAGAAGTTGCTGACCTCTTCTTAGTTTACTATCTACCTCCACTACGACGCTGGATCTCGAAGTGCATATCCCTTGACTGTTATCCTGCGTTCTCATATTCTATCCGTAAGGGCACCACAGCTCCGTTACGTTGTCCGAGGAACCAAAGGGACGTACACCAAGTATGGGCTGGATGTTCAAGAAGACCAGCTCAAGGTGATATCGACACCGAAAGGCATACTTGAGAATCAATTTGGGAGAGAACCAGAAAGCATCTGGGGCTCTATCGAGAGGGTGGAAGCGGACGACATTACTGTATCGAAATTCAGGTGAGCCAAAATTTAAAAAGAATAAGGCGATGTGTGATGGAAGGAGTTATTCAATGCTTCGTTGGAATAGCTGGCCATCGAAGGACCCTGGGGCCTACATCGAGCTGTTCCGAAATCTAGGTGCCGCGATCCGCGAAGGGGCTGAGCTGGTCGTGAAGTGGGAGGAGGCGACAGCAGTAATTAAGATGGTCGAGCTTGCGCACAAGAGTTCGCAAGAGGGAATGACGATTGCTGTGCAGTGAACACGTGACTTCCACGTTGTAAAATACCCCTGGCCGGAGTGTGCTGGCTTCCTTTGTTACTCAGTAGCCACCACAGATCCATGTCGCTAGTAGATATCCGCGTCGATCTACCATCTTACTCCCGTTCTTTCGTTGTCCAAGTCCCGCCCTCAAGTTCCGTTCTCCGCGTGAAGCAGGAAATCCAGGAGGCATGCCCGGGACAACCGCGTCCCGAAGGCCAACGCCTCATTTGGCGAGGTAGGCTATTGGCCGATGACGAGCTAGTTGAAAACCTCTGGAAGGTAAATCTATACTTCTCGAACGCTGCTGAGCGCTGAACCTGGATGCAGGCTGAACCTAAGATCGTACACCTCGCCGTACATCCCTCAGCTTGGTCATCTGTGCCACCAGAGATACCCCAGCCTCCCCTCCAGTCCCAGCCTCAACCTCTCCCGACGCCGACACCGACATATAATATCCCCCGTAATCCATACGTCTTCCCCAGGAACACCATCACACCTCGGATAGAGTTCACGGTAGCTCCACAGCGGCCGATCATGGCCTACGTGTTGTACAAGCACCAGAGGGCGCTGAGCACGCTTTCCTCTGCAGTTCAGCCGCCTGTCGAACTGCATAACCTGTCACTCTGCCGCATGATCGCCCATCAAACGCTGGAGAAAAATGGCTGGAAATGGCCTGATGTTCTGGACGAGGAGTTCCCAGCTCCATCGGAAGGTGGCCTGCAGTACGAGTCCACTTTAGTAGAGTGCGTATCCATCTCAATCAAACGAACGGCTGATTAAGTTACATGTTTCCAGCGGGAAACCCTACCTTCGGCTTGTCGAGGAATCTGGTAGCCAGCCTACTCCGGTCCAAGAGCATGCACTCAAGGTCCTGACATACACATTCTCCATCCTGAACATGACGCTCCCTACATCTCCTCCAATGCGTACCGTACACACGCAATCGGTACCTGTCCCACCTCACGTCAATCAGCTCCTCCAACAGCTTGGACTTCCACAAATGCGACCTGCAAATGCCAACATTAATCCAGTTGTGAACCCGAACCCGATTCTTCCTGAAATACGTGAAATACCTATCCGCCCCCTCCTCGCACCCCTCATGATGCTCATCTTCCGTACAACACTTCTTCTTTACTTTGTCGCCCCAGCTCGCAAACCTATCTTTGGCGTTCTCATTCTCGCTTGGATGCTGTATGAGATTTGGCAACCCATCCGGAATGCCCTCCTTAGGAACGCCTTGAACAGACTTCCTGAGAACCAGCGACAGGCAAACAACGGAGCCGAGGCGAGACCAGGCCAGGGTAACCAAGCTCAGCAACCAAATATACCAGGTGCCGTAGGCGCTCGTCCCGTTGCCGGGGTTCCTGCACGCCTACCCTTAGCTGGCAGAACGTTGGATCAACAAGTAGCTGTCATCTTTGACAACCTCGCCAACATGAACCTTGCAGATGAAGAGCTGATTCTCAACGCACCTGCAGGCACGCCAGCCCCGGAGCCTGGCCTTGGACACAAGATCATGACTTTCACGAGTCTGCTTGTCACAACACTGCATCCAGCCATCTGGAATCGCAGGAGGATGGCACTTCGACGAAGAGAGGGAACCATTAGAACGGAAGCTGACATGAGGAATTCGACACCACCGCCGACTGATGACGATGGGGATTCCACCCCAGGACAGGAAGTCAACAACAGAGCTGCAGAAATACGACAAGAGCTTCAAGCCCAGTATGACCGCCGTCCGCGATGGATCCAACAGTATATGCAGCGGGTAGTAGAGGAAGATTGGGTCGATGACTCTGACTGATTTCTGTACATCCTCTAGTGTAAATCTGACATCGATTGCTATCCAATCTACCATATCTTTATGCAACGCCACAGACAGGCTCTACGTGCAAAAGCCATTCTATTGATGAAATTATTTTTGTGTGCCTGCTGTCGTTGTGTCAAAGTCGATGCTCAACCAATGCACGTGAGGACAAAGACGAACTTTGGCACAGCTAAATACAGTCTTTGTTTCCTCTGCCCTTCACCCGTCCGCTTGCCACCAATTCACCATCGCTCTCATCCCTTCTGAAACGCTCAAATTATCCGCCCGTCTTGATAGCCCTCTGCCAACGTCACCATCTGAATCGGCCAGTTCAGCAGCATCGGTATCCCGATGTCCACCTTCGACTCGCTTGTGCTGGAGCTGACTCGCGATGTAAATCGCGCCCAACCCAAAGACGCACTGCAATTCTGCGCGAATTGGTTCCAATCTCGTCTCGAGGAACAGAGGGCGCGTACGCGTGATTTGCTATCTAGCCGCTCATCGTCTATGTCTGTCCCTAGCGAGCTATACACCGATGGTGCTCTGGGTCCTGTGCCTCCAACCCTTTCACCTTTCCCGCGACCGCGTTCATCTATCAGAGACAGTATTGCCCACAGCCCATTTGGCACACTCAACGTCCCAGGGAACGCTCTCCTTGGGGGAGATCGGACTCCGTCAGATATCAGATCGCTTCAGATACAGC